AACATTAACTGAATTTCACTTCCATTCTGGGGGGGAATTTTCAAGACACATAGTCATTAAGCTGACTTTTTACCCACAGAAGATGACAAAATGATTAGATATTAGAGAAGGGGAATAGGCATCAGCACATAATAAAAGAAGAAGCTGGTTATGTTTATATTTGCAGTTACTGGGCTTTGGGGGCAATACAGACTCCCATTATAGATGTTTATCTATAATGAAATCCTTTGTTTTAGTAAGGATGGAAGACATCCACTCTACCTTCCAATGCTGTAAGATGTCTTTCAATAGGCAGTTGATTTCAAAATGTAACCAAAACATTTATGTGTTCTCTATCTGCTCAGTGGCATTCATCAGCAGGACTAGGTATAAAAATTCAGATCACATTATCAGCAAGTATACTGAGAGCCTTTTGTTTCCTCTGCAGAGAAGGATGCAACATAACAGCGAAAGAATTCTTTTTAACAAGGGACTCCTCAGGTACTATACGAAATGAAGCAAAATGAATAAATGCATTTAATTCTTCTTCAAAAACAGAATGGATTTTTTAAGTTCAATAAAAATTTCCTTAATGGTTGTTACTATTTTTCTAATCTACCTGGCTCTAACCATCTTCTGAGTAAATATCTCGTTTGTATTCTCATTTTGCTCCTGAAACATCTCATTATCTTTTGCATAATGAGAAAAGCTTATCACTATAAATGTTTTCTTCTCAAGGCTGGGGACTGCAATCTTTTACTTGGAAAAGCTCTTCTCTGTGGAGACTTGCAATACAGTTTATGCAGAGTTCTGAACCTTTTATTCTTCCAGAACTCATCTGTTCAAACATATCTCAGTTTACAAGTGTCTCATGAAATGATGTAGTACAGATGAGATATTGGTGTAAAATGGCAATTGAAAGATTCGTATGTCACTCAATATTTAAGACTTAAAACAATGATAGATGAGACTTACAGTAAATGGCTTGACAGTCATTTCAATGTCCTTTCTTGCTCATAAAGTCAGACTCAACAAGCTACCTGTTCTCAATAGGTTACAGCAGGTTCAACAGGCACTACAACGAACTACCTGGGAAGATCACTATTTAGAAGTTACAGTTCACGCTCGCTGAACTTGGTTAACTGTAATGCCCATACAAGTTTACTCACTAGCAGGGGAAAAAAAATACAACAACCTGCTTTTCACTGAACTATATTTAATACTAAAATTTAAACGATGTCTTGTAAATGCTCTGGAATTTCTCTAGAATCAACATAAAATCAATGTTCTGCTTTTATCAATAAATACATAAGAAGAGGAAGAGCATTCTAAACAGCACACGAAGAATTTGCTCCCACACTGTACTGCTGATGAGAGAGAACTTTAGAAGAGCCAAAGTCTATTGTTTAGGATAGCAAAATGAATGCTTTAAATTGTTTAAAGGACACATAACAAGCAATATAAAAGTCTCTCTTTCTATCCTGTGCTAACATTGCATTCAGCACCAATGAAGTATAATAGATATTTTATTCTATTATTTTAGATCCCAACATTAAATGAATCTACATTGTATACAAAGAGAACTATTTTAAAATCTTGTCAAAAAGCATTTTTGCATATTTGCTTGAATACATAATGTTATAACTCTTTCTGACAGTAGCTCATATAGAATACATGTGCAGCCAGAAAAAAAGACATTGATATTTTTCAGTTGGTTTATCTTTGTTTTCTTAAAAACCTTTCCTGTTAACAGAAGCAATACTCTCTTTAATAAGACAGTTTACTAAGTTTATTTGTCTAAGCATAAGATGCGAGCCACCAGAAGTGAAAGGGTTTATGAATATTTTTTCCAAGATGTCCGAACTTTTTGTACAAAATAAAGAATAGTATGAAGAATAGACGTAAGTTAAGAATTTTATCATCAGGAAATTAAATCAGTGGCTGAGAAGTGCCACAGCAGTGATAAAAAGCAACTGCAGATATATTAAAAATAGATGATGATGCAAGGAACTGTAGCATATGAAGTTCCTTCTGTTTCAGCAAACAGTCTTAGACAACCTTGCTTACAGACGCACATTTAGAACTGTTTTCAGATCTTCCATTGTTGGGTTTCTAAATATTACCTGCTTATCTAAAGACATAGTCATTTGACTTTAAGGACCAATATCAGAGAAGCTACACATAAAAGGGTGTTTTGTAAAAAGAGAAAAATTCAGCTACAATCACGAATATGAAGAAGTAAGACATTGTGTATCTTTTAATATACTATAAATAAATACATATGAGATGAAGTAATATTCAAACTATTTTGAATAAAAACAAACTGAAAAGGAAACAAAAGAGAATTCATGATATTCTTAAAGGTTTCTGGAGTTCAGTTTGCAAGTCCAAGACTTCAAATAAACAAGTATTTTATGGAAAGGATCACTGAGAGTACCTGACATATGTTAGCAAACACATTTGACGTGATACAGTATTTATACAGCAAAGGGAAAAGAGCAAAGTGAGGTGTCATGTTAAATAAAATCTGAAAATACAAAATGAAAAAAACTGGGGTACGTAAGAAAGAAAGAGAACAAAGAGAGACAAATGGATGAAGTATTGCATTTCATGCAAAGAAGGCATATATTTAAATCAAGATTGTGATGAGTCTGCAAAGTAAAGAACCTTAAATGAGAGAAGGATGTGGAAGGTAAGAAAAAACAAGGATAAATCAAAAGACTTGTAAACATAGTGACAGCAGCACAAAGAAGAAAGGCAATAAATAAATATTTCAAAACCAAAAGAACATCAAACTTTTCCACCCACACAGCGAGTCTGAATTAAAATGCAAGTAAGGCGTAGAATTGTCAGCAGAAATATAAAAGCTAAGAGATCTTAAAGGAACTAAATGCACATTAAACACCCAGGTAAGAAAAGCAGACTGAAGAGAAGCAAAACTGTAAAGATGTAATTTTCCAAGGAGTTGTCAAAATAAGAGTTAAACTATTTCATATCAAAGGCTAGCTAACATAGAGATTTTTATGACCACTTTAGCAGTCTTTACATGAACAATACAAAATCAGATATTGGAAACAGAAAAATAAATTAATTCTTTAAGCAGGGTTTTGGAAAGAGAATTGATAATACTGCCAGGAAAAAATAAAGATTTCAGTATTATTAGAGGATGCATGACCATTCAACATACTGCACACTAATCTGCATTAGAAAGCTTTATTTAAAAGCCATCTTCCAAAAAAGAATTTATGAAAAAATTAAAAGGCTTAATGTGTTTCAAATGTTGTAGGAAGCAAAACAAAACAAAGAAAAACAAAATCACAGAATTTGAAAACCAGGTGTTTCAGAGGATTCCTGGGGATGTTCAGGCACCTGGTACATTCCTGCAAAAGCATGTACTTTTCCTCCAGGATAATACAGAGATTTGAGTTTCAAAATGGCTCCATACTGGGAACTCTAGACTAAATAAATCCTCTTTTTCCCCCTTTTTAATCAAACTCCAAAGTTTGGTAGCTAAATTTCCAAATTAACTGACCACCCAGAATATGAAAGTGTTTCCTTGTAGGAGGACAGGCAATCTGAAAGCCTTATTGACTACTGAGCACATAGAGAAAGCTAACCAACGTTAGACTGAAAGTAGGGTAAAAAGAAACAAGAGACTTCTGAGACTCCCTGCCGTTTAGGTTCCACAATTTTCTGCCACTCTGGCTACATAACCTTCCCATCTTCTGACTGCAGTAGACCAAACAGGCAGTGGGAATGTAAAAATGCCGTAAGTTTTCCTAAATATCTTTCCAGTTAAGGTAATAACCTGAAAACTGGCCTATTGCTGTTTGAAGACAAATGGTTTAAGGAAGATAGAAAACCTACTGGTCCAATCCACAACATTCCTTCTTGTCTTGACCTTTCTATCACAAAGTGTGCATGATATCATGCTAGTTAAAAAAGAGTTGGTTGATGAAATTTACATGCTGCTTGATAAAACAAACCGTTATCCCTCCTTCCCAGCAAACACAAGACCCATGGCAAGGACATACCATCAAAAAGTAAGCAAAACCTAAGAGATAACTGTGAAAAGTGGAAAATAGTGGAAATACAGGCTACCTAGACAACACTGAGCTCAGACTGGTAACAGCTTTTGTTTAAGACTGTGCAAACTCAGGTAATTGGCAGCTCACTAAAGGTTTGGATTTATGAATACTTGACAACACCCCATCCCATAATACCCACAACTTCCTCGTCTACCTCCTTTTTCTTTCTCTAGCTCCAAACCAAGCTGTAGTACAGTCCCTTTGACTCACGTTTCCTGTATGCCCTTCCTTAGCCCACCAGCAGCATGCTGTACCTGCCATAAAAGCTGCACGCATGCTGTCAGGTGGCTATATGACAGGAACACAGTCTGACAGAGGCCCTACAGCTGCTGGACAGGCCAGGCAGCACATACTGCTCTATCCTAAATGTGTTTTGTTACAGTCTGGAAAAGCATACGTTTCCCTGATTTTATTGGTTTTGGCTATGACAACAGTAAAAATTTTTCTCTTAAAAGGGGAGAAATATTAAATCTTTCACGTGACAACTTTAATCTCAAATACAAATTAGATTCACAATTTCAATACTTCTTAATAAAATCAGATTATCTGTTAGGACATCTCCCTGCCTGCCTGATATGTCTAGGTTTCAGACTTCTCGTATTGCTGTTATTTCACCATGAACTTTTCAAGGATACGTAAAACCCCAATGTTTGTCAAAAGGTCAAATACATATTTCCTACCTTTTAATATAAAACACTTCAGTGCTATTTTTATCATTTTATAAAAGCAACAGGGAAATTTACACATTGATTTTCCCCTCTGTTGGCCATTTTTGTGGTTAAACTTGTTTTAGTCTTAATACTTATCTGTTAGAAAAATGTGCGCTAAGGTTCTATTTATTTTTCACCAAAAATTATTATAAAATTCATAACAATGAATTATAAATAAGAAAGATTTCTACTGAACTCAGAAGAATAATTTAGAAAGCGATACCTGAAACAACACCAATTCCATCATCACAGTCGTAATCAGAGACTTCACTGTCACTGATTCTTTTGGACCCTGCCAAAACAACAACAAAAAATGTATTAGTTATCTTCCTGTAAATCAGAACCATCCTCAGCTAATTATACGAATATAAGGATTTATCACTAGAGAATGAAGCATTAATATAAACATGTACATGAAGTTATTAATGTTATATTATTGTAAATATATTAGTTTTCCAAATATTTTTATCTAAATTTTTGATATAATATATGAAGTAATGATGAAATACAGCTCTGCAACATTTCTTTTATGAAATGCTTGTATACGTCATATGCACATCTATTAATTCCATATAAAAAACAGATACCACACTTCATCTTCCAAGTTTTCATATACCAAAAATATGGCATCATCCTCTTCCCCAAAGTGCTTGGTATTCAAACAAAATATTCAGAAAAATTAATTATAACGATCATACTACACTGATGTAATATTATCTTTAGGGTATTAGTAAGCTATATCAGGAGACCAGGCAGCTTCACACGTAAAGTGTGTACTGAAAAACAAAATCTCTCTGTGACACGTTAGAGGAAGCAAGCTGTTAAATGCTATCTAGGAGTGCACCTGTCAAAATAGCTGGAGGACAGTTGGCAAAAGAAGATTCCACATCTACAATGAGAACTAAAACGTAGGTTGGGTAGAACAAATATATGTGTTTGATTAGCTTTATTTTTCTTCTGTCTTCTGTGGCATCTTTGAAAAAACATTTGATTGCTGACATCAGGATGAAGTGCTGGCATGTCAACATGTGAATGATAATCACTCATTCACTTCTTTTAGATGTGAAAATCCCTGTTCTTCAGCAAGATGGTGTGTCTGTTCTAATTGTCTGGCCATCTAAAATAAGCAACTAGTAGGTAGGAGTTTTAATCTAATTGTTGCAAAACCTTCTATTATGTGCAAGATTTTTATTCATGCCATAGGATGATTTATTCTGAAAAACACATGGAAAAATACAAGTAAAAACTGGAAGCTAACCTAAAGGAACCCAGGGCAAAGCAGGATTAATGTCCTACATCGGTGACTGGCACAGAACGATCCCCAGCTTCCCCTCCAAGCACAAAAGTGGGAGAATGTGTAAAATGGGGATTTGACAGAATTATAACACTCTTCAATAGAAAGAAGTATTATGTGAGAAATTATCTGAACCATATGGACTGCTGTTGTCTATCAGACTGTCTAACATCTACCCACAAGGAGCAGTGGAAGGTCCTTTTTTAGCATAAAGATCGTGCTGATGCGATGTGTATGGAAGTTTTCCCTGCTGCACCCTTCTAGCTTTTAGCAAGGAGTCCTGGCAACTGTGACTTCTCCTCAGCCATCCTCTTGGCCTCTCTAACATGCGATGTCAGCAAGTCCTGCAGTTTAGCTGCACACTGTGTGAAGTAGCTCCCCTCTGCTTCATCTGTTGCACCATTTCTGACAATGGCCTCCGAGCTTTTGTTTTCTAAGGGACATGAATCAGCGTTCTGTCTTCTCCCACAGTCCTCTCTTTTTTTGGGGCTGAAATACTGCTGTTTAATTTCTTTGCATATGCAAACCACTCCATATTTCTGATTGCTACTGCTGCCTTTGTGTCTTTTCTAGTTATTCTGCACCTTTTATAAGAAGTCAGAATTGACCACAGCAATCAAAATGTCACATATGAATTTATAAAGTAGACTGCAGACTATTTCTTTTTGGATAAAACTTGCTCTGCTAAACACTATTCAATCAGAAAATGGTGTGATATGTGTTCTTTAATTCCTATAAAACACAACCTTGCTTGCCATTACATTATGCAATTACAATAGAGCAACGTAAATTATCGTTATTTAACTGCAACACAGGTTGTTGGCTTTTTTCTCACAGATAGAAAATAAAAATCGATACAATGAAAGTCTTGTGTTGGTTTCACATCCTGCAATTCTTACATGGTATGATATTAATTCAATTTATTCTAAGTGTTTGAAATAGCTATGCTACACTGGAGAGAAAGCAAGGTGTCTTTAAATCCAAGAAATAATAAATTAAAGTATTTATTTAAAAGAAGAAATAACAAGCAAGTGATTGCAATTAGCACTCGAGAAAACCTCGAAGAGCAGGAGTGAAGGAAAAGTCTTCATCATCCTAATGGACTTTCTGCTAATCAGGAAAGTTTCTAAAAAGCAATTAAGTCTGACTAGGACAATATTCAATCTGATGTGTTTTTTTAATTATAGTACTACAGAGGCCCAATGAAAATCTCTCTTGCATTCCAAAGACAGAGCATCCACTCTGCTTGTGATGCTGTTCCTGCTGCTCTTCTCAGCAGAGAGTCTTCTACTGCTGTGGTGATGATATACATGCCAGTGAGGAAGAAAGATTATGGCCATCAGTCTCCATTTTCCTTAGCTAGGAATCCAGACCATTAGATAAAACAGATGATATTTGTGACTAAACAGGGAGCAAAAGAGCCCCACTAATCTGGCCAGGATTTGGCTGGGGACTAAGAGGAAGAAGCCCCCAAAGGGGGAGCAGAGCAGTACGATTCTGGTCTCTCTGGTAGCCCTGGTTCTGATCTGGCCATGGGACTGTGATGCTGCATGGAGATGCCAACAGCATCACCCAGCCTCTGCTGGAGAGCGAGGACTGGGGAATGGGGAGATGAAGGCAACTGAACAGCCTGCTGCTCATCACATGGATGTTTGAAAAGCTCTGTATTAAGAAAGACATAAAAGGGTTGAATCAACTATGATTTGAATGAGTGTCATTCACTCATCATCTAATTCATCCTTATGAATGAATCTAATTAATTACGACTGAGATTGATTTTATTTGTGTTTATATTTACAGCTAAATACATCCGATTTAATGTATTTTTAGAGTTTTATATTCCGTGTTCTGAAGAAAAGATTTGCATCTCTGAGGATGAAAATAGCCAACTGTTGTGACAGTGGGCTGAAGACTTCCCAGTTGCAGAGCTAAAATTGTATCTTGTAGTAGTCACAGGACACATCCTGTAGAAAGAGAAAAGCTTCAAAGGACCACGGGTGTAAAAGACAGGGGGTTCTCTTTCTCTATTCCCTCAATGCACCATCCACCTTTTCCAGAATCTCCCAATAGCAGAACTCCAAACCACCTTCTGTGACCTAGAGACTCTTTTCTCTTTTTATGTACAGACCTCTCTCTTCACCCCAGGGAAAAGATGGAGCACAAGGGAAAGTGAACAGGCCAAGATCAAGAAACCTACCCTAGGAACAGACATAGAGAAAGAGTACATTCAATGGAAGAACCAGGTTTCAGGGCTTCCTTTCCACATTTGTCTTTACTCCCACAAAGAGGAGAGTCTCTCGTAACAGCTGACATCCCTTAAATACAAAACCTTTTTCTCTGTGTAAGAGAAGACAGGAAGCTTGTTCAGGTCAGATCATCTGTTCTACCTCCTCAAACTGAGAATACCTTAAGCCAAGACTAACTACTAAAAGACTTGAAATAACTGAAAAATAATCATGCTAAAGTAATGTTTCATTTACTTTAAATGTGATTTTAAATGCTGGTTAAGAAGTCAAATGCAATTTAAACTGAGATTCATTACTTGGTTTTGTCTTTGAAAATCAATGTTTTCAGGAAGGATGGAGGAAGGAAAGCATGTTTATTAAATATGTAATGTCAAGAAGTTCTGCCTGGAATATGTAACTTCTGTAAAGTAATAAGATTAAATTTATTTGAAATGTCTTCCATTAACTTCAGAAATTGAACAGATTAGAAGGTCCACGGGTCAAAATCCTTTATTGAATCGAGTATCCAAAATATCAGTATAACTGCTGGCAGCTTAGTTTAAGATTTCTCATAAATTTTGCAAGAGTAATTTCATCTGCTATCTATTCTAGCTGGTAATTTTCTTTTTAACCTATTGACAATGTAAATTTGAAGAGGTAGGCTTCTGTACCTCCTTAACCATGTCTTTTGAAAATACCACTTCATTACCTAACTAATTGAAACTACTGTCCACAAAGCAGAGAAAGCACAATTCATAGTTTTTTCTGGGAAATGTGATGAAGAAGCTTCTCACCAACAGATTATTCCAAAAGAATATTGCTAATGACACTGTTGTTCAGTATTTTTAATGTATATCTGAAAGTGTTTAACCAATATGTTATGAAATATTTATATATTTCAAACATAAGAAGATGAAATCTTTTCTAACAAATTCAAAATTCTGTAAAGAGTTTGAGCATGTAACACCTGGGACACTGGGTGCATCATATAAATGCACTGATGCCAATGCTTTGTATATAATTACCTATGACTGATTTTAAACGTGAGGAATGACAATAATTCAGTCGCACTGCCATTGTACAGGAATATAGCTTATTAATGAAATATTCTTAGGGATATTATTACAATTTGTGTGATAACTGGATGGTAACAGTCTGTAAATACTGATTTTTGAATGCTTTCTACCAGGATTAATGGTTATTACAGTCACAAACTCAAAGCAAACTAGATGCCATGCTGTAAAATTACCTAGTAAACCATGCAGAAAATGCTTTAATTCAGCATAACCCCAACTCTGGTGAAATCAAAAGAAATATTCTCATTGACTTCAGCATTTTTTGGTTTAACTGTCTTGAACTGTTTAAAAAAAAAAAAACAAACATGTTTTCCAGGGACAGATCTTATCCTGGGGATAGTGGAGAACCTCTCCATCAGAAGTTGATAACCCTCAGCATTCTCTTTCCTCCTGTGTTTCCCATTGCTGTACAAGCTACCATTCTACCCAGCACCACAGCACATCACAAGATGCAGCATTTAAATATGCTTGTTTCTTTCCATTTTTCATCTTTATCGCTAGCAATAATGTGCAGAAAGAAGTGCAGCGTTTTATTCCATTTTATGAATCAAATTAATTTTTGGTTAACTTTTCACAGGCTGCAGTCTTGGTGGCCATACGGAAAACATTTTAGAGAATCTTCTTTACTCTGACAGAATCACATTTCTCTTCACAGCCACATTCTCAATAACTGGAACTCTTCCAAATTGTGAATGAAAGCACAAATAATTTCGTGCAAGGTAACCTAAATCTGTGGAGCGTTCCAGAAGATCTCCTGACTTCTACATGACACCTGATGATGGAATAGAGCTGTGCCCAGTTATTAATATACAGGATATTAATAAGCAAGATAGCATGTCTGTGCTTTGTATATTTTCCACTGCTATTTCTGATGTAAACCTCAACAAAAGAAGGGCAGCATGTGAGATTCAAAACTCTAATAAAGTCTACCTGACTGACCAATATAGAACTGACTTAAGATAAGGAGTGGAATGAGAAATAAGATTAAGGTTAGTCAGCTTAAATACAGAAGGAAAAATACCATGGTTCAGGAATTCATCTTATCTTGTGGAAAAAAAAAAGGGGGGGAAAAAAGAGACTGAGCTCTTGAGATAGGGATCCTGCCTATGCAGGAACCTTTGACGAGGTTTGATGAACTCCTTGGGGGAACAAAGGGTATTGAAGCATGCTTATACGATCTCCTTCCCTGAAGCTTACAGAAGGCCTTCACAACCACTTAAAGTAACTTAGCATTGCCACTCTTTTTTCTATGTTCAAAGCTGACACATAAGCAACTCCAAAATCAGTCTCACAATGGCTGTCTTAAGTATTTCTTCTCTCATATTCATCTAGTTTGTGCCTGAAGGTTCTTAGTGTGAACTAATTTGTCATGCAGTCCTGCTGTCTGCATGTCAATCTGTCACTTCATCTTCCTCTATATTATAGTGGCTTTTTAAGTTTTCGACCAATTTCAGCTGAGTTGTCAGAAAGGTATAAATTTAATTAAGTTCCTACAGATCTATGAAAATGGTTGCTGGAAGGAAGAGTGTGATACAAATCAGAACCCATGAATGGAAAAGAAACAAAATCAAGGTAAAACTTGTGGTGAACCCTAGTGTACAAGTGGTGAATCCACGCTAGCAAACATGATCTATTCCCATGGGAACATACCATATAGACTAGAAGAAATGTTGGAGACTAAGGGTAGACGTAATGGAAACTAGGTTTTATTAGTGCCAATCTCACAAAGCATCCTGTTTTTTTCTTTTTTCCTCTCTCTACCACAGTTTTTGCTCTATTTTCTCAACAATGTGTGTTTAATCTCTAACTTAATGAAATATAATTAGATGAACCAATTCTCAATGAGATTCCCATAATTAAAATTGTAGAAACTGAAAAAAGTCCCACATGAAATGTGTTACAAAATTTAAGCTTGTAAAAACTTTACACTATGAATTTATTTATGTTTAATTAAGGGAAACTTCTCAGATATAGCAACTGGAACTGGAACTGGGGATTTAAAGCAATATTAAACTGTAGATGCACGTACCAGTACAAATACTGCTTTTGGTAGTACTTCACTTACCCCTTGTTTGTATTCTGAAAATACTTACACTAGTTCTCAAACGGCTGTAATACAACAGTGATCTTATCAACATAGCTTAAGCAAAATAGCATTTTCCTACTCTGGTTAATAAAGCTCACTACAGTTTACCTACCAAAGCTCTACCTAAATTAAAGGCAGACAAAGCAAGTAGAGTGTTACAATACTGCTCCAATACCAGTGCTGAGACGTTCAGAATAAAGAAACAAAGCCAACAAAGGACCTATGGCTGAAAAGCAGACATGGAGAGCCAAGGAACACTTAAGCAATTTAGCATCTGCACAATAGGTAGCAAAAGCACACCAATAAATTATCAAATTAAATTCTGCATGTATAATGGGAGCAATAAGCATTTCTGGCATGCTGAGAGTTTACCTGAATTATATGAATATAAGCCTTTATCTGGAAAACAAATATTGAAATGAAGTAGTGTCAGGGAAAAATACGTGAATCACTACTACATGTAACAGGGATGGTCAGAACCTTAAACTTCTTTGCATCTGCAGAAGCAGACTGAAGAATTTGATATTGCAGGCCACATTTCAAGAGAAAAAAAATCAGCTATGAGAAATTAAACCACAAAAATGTCACCCTCTTCTGAATCAACATTTATACTCTGTACTTACATCTAGTCATTTCTGATTCTGAAGTGCAGGTGCCCATTTACTATAATCAAGTGTTTAACTTTTTAAGGGCAAAATGTATATTCAAGTAGGCATACAATATGAGTTGCTACCTTTAAAATTACAGTATGCTGCTGTTGGCACCTCAGCAGGAAGTTATTCGCAGAACTTTCCTGAGATGTAGCTATGAATCTAACTTTAAACTTAAAAGAGTCTGTGGTAATGTTTAAGTCAATCTTCTGTCTCCAGCTAGTCAATGGACCTGATTTGGCAAATATGTACATACATGAATAGCTTATCTACATGTCTTTGTTACCAGTGAATTTAAGACTCCTGATGTGAGCACAATGATTAAACACCTTCAAGATCTGGATAATTGTTTGCATTCCTTGAGTCTGGCTGTTTTAAGTATTTTAGCTTTCCAAATGACCATATCAGTTTTTTCTAAACTCAGTAATACAGCAGTATGCAAAGAAACATACATTAATGGAAACGTGTAATACTGCTTTGCATTTGTAGACTTTGTAAATGGGACTTTCATAAGGTAACGGGAGGAAGCAGGATGTCTGAATAATATGAACACTCTCCTGACATTAGCAAGACATTATGGATGTTTTTACTTTTAAGTGAACAGCAGTTTACAAATCCTAACTCGCTATCACAATGCTCACAGACGCCATTTAAATAAGTGTGACAGTCCATGAGATGCACCTCGGATGACAAGATATGACAGTGTTCGTGGAAAAATGAAAATACCCATTTCTTGCCAACTGGTGCTGTCAGGAATTCACTGAATGACTAGGTCCCTTCTGGCAAGTCATAGTTTTTCTGACTTCCAGTTATATACTATTTTAATACGTAGACAGCATCACTAAATCATATACTATCTGAAATTTTTAACTCTTTTTAACTTCTAATTGTCTCTCTTGATAAATATAATTATTTTCTGTCATCCAGCTCCAGAACTGCATTAGGCCACATAATTTCAAATAAAATATTAAGGATTTTTTCAGCATCATTTGCAAACTTTTAGATGTGAGCTTTAGTGGATAACTTCTCTAATATTTGCACTTATTGGTACAAATCTGTACCAGTTCTTAATTTCATGAAAAACTGACTCATTTTTGGCTACAAAATTATGAAAAGTTAAATATGGGGAAGTTTGCTCCAGTAACATTAGAAAGTCACCAAAGCCAAAAAAATAAATAAATCTATTAACACAGTCCAGAATTATTTACATAATGAAAAATGATGGACTTTCTGAATTAAACTTCTGGAAAGATCTGTAAAAGTTTAGAGCTTCTTGAAGAGCAGAAGAATATAAAAATACTGAGATTATACTGAGTCCTCCTAGAGCAAGGACTAGAGAATCCATGTTTGTTTCCATATGGTTACAACACAGAAAGGCAAAAGTCAAAACAATATTCAACTCATTTGAAGACTTCATCAAAACCATTATGCATGACACTTGATTACACTTTAACAATTTAAAAAAAAATAATAACAATAAACACTAACTTCAGCCAGAAAAGGCAGTTACTGTATGGACTTCTATCTTTTAGAATCTTTTTAAAGGTCACCTGACTATTTATCCACTGCTAAGCAAGGTTACTTTACCCTATCCACTGAGTTATTTCATCGGAGAACATGGCTTTTCTGTCATTACATGACAAAAGAGTGGTTTAATAACATGATTAAGGAACACTGTTAAGGAACAAGAGCAACAGAATAATAAGCAATATTCAAATTATCTTAAATTGCTTCAGAGTGTTGACAGGATTTCAAATACTTTTGTAGTTTAATTACAATTTAATAAAGTTTGTTTTTAATTTTTCAAAGATCAGAGAATTCCTCAAGTAAGGTTCTATTTGTAATTAGGGAAAAAAGAACATATTTTGATAGTTTAAGGCCTTGTCAGACACCCCTGTAGCATGTTAAATACCTTTTTATTAAAGTATTTAATAAACCATAGATGTACAATAAATACAATAAATAAATCATAGGTGTATAGTTAATATAATACTGGTATAGGTATATATATATATATACATACTCTATGAACATAACATCAATGCATGCAAACAAAGAAAACATGCCCAAGGGCTGTGCTCCATAAAAGAAAGAGAAAAAATAAGGAAAAAGCACGAAAGAGAAAAATAAGTGTTAAATGCTCTCTAAAGTAAATTTTTTATAATATATTCACCATTCGTGGTCTGTGCTACTAACCATAAAATGCTCCATATAATAATTTGAAAAAAAAAAAAAAAGTCACTGATGTATGTTTCCAATAAGTAAACTCACTTACCTGCTAGTGAACAGCATTATTATAATTCCCTCAAGTAAAACTCAGTGACATTGATTTAAAATTATCATAGAGACTTACCATATTCACAACATATTACAAGGAAATTGCTGAGACAGCAAGATCCTGATTCTGCAGGAAAATGAGACTCTACAGAGCTCCAAGGAAGTCCCTAGGTTCCATTGGAATACTGAGGTTTTAATGCAGGGGCTCAGAATTCAGAGGGTGAAGTTTCAGATACATCATAGTTAATGATTATTAAACTGTAATGATTTTGGTACTAAATGTAGCTCTAAATGTTCTACAATAAAGGCTTGAAAATTTTAACATTTAAATAATGGAAGAAAGGACTTGAATTATGAGTTATAACACTCGATTCATCTCTGATTCGATGGGACAGTCACAGAGCTTTAGATAAAAAACCTCAATAATCTCTATCTAAATTTGTTTTTCAAAAATGAACAAGCAATAGGGTCCTTTATTTGTGAATTCTTTCTATTGATTTCATGTTTCTAGTTGGATGAGATAACTTTTAGCACGTTAAAGTCTCAGCACAATACTTCTTACCATGCGATTCAGAATACTTTGCTTATGCATCTGAGTGAATACATACAATTTGGAACAGTAATGCCATATATAGCTTTTTTCAGGATACATGCACATTTGTTTTGTAGAACATAACTACATTCAATTTTTTATCCCTATAGTTTGGAATACACACTACTATAATTTCTCTCTCTCTTTTTTTTTTTTTTAATATATATATATATGCCTTGATTACTAATTGTGATATTCAGTGAATGGAGTCATCAATGACTTTAAATATCAAAATAATGAAACTCAAATCCATTTAAAAGAAAACTAATTCACAGTTTTCTTATGTGGTTATTTTGATCCTGACTGATTTTCTGGTGTTTAGTTCTGGACAAAGTATCATTTGATTAACAATTTTTTAACATATTGTGCACTCTCATAGCAATTAATAGGTACAAACCTATGGTCTAACTACAGACCTAAAGATGTTTGTTTGTTTTTTTCCCACACTTCTTCCCTTCTTTTGGCATTTAGCTGTTATAAGCGTTGTCCACCCACACTCTGTGGTCTGCAGATCAATAATTCATCAAGTTTGTTTTTAAAGCTGCAAAAATCTGACTTAGAAAACTAGTGACAGGGAAACTCTTAAAATTCTTGAAGTAAAACAAAGTAATGAAATCTGCCCCTAAAACAAATTCAGAGTTAATACAGTACAACAACAGTCCAAACCACATCAAATGTCAATGTTATCTGTAGAAACATAGAACCACGCAATTTATTGAGTCTCACCTAACGTGCGAAGGAAAAATAATTAGTGTGGCCTAACCAACTACAGGAATTCTTAAATCTTTTTGTGTTGTTTTTTTGTTGTTTTTTTTTCTTTTCTGTTTACATTCTCTTTTCAGAGGCAATATAAAAATAATTTCAGTTGGCCTATGACCCTAGATAATGCTGTTTGGACTTCTTAATGCATGGCAGATATTATGTCAAATGTTAGAGAAAATGAAGACATTTTAAAAGTTCAGTTCAGAAGTCCAGCATGACAAATGAAAAAGCTCATTCTTTCATTAAGAAAAAAAATAACATATACTCATTGGATAAAAGCCAGACAGTTTATGAAAATCTGAGATATAATTAGCTGAAAGACCTTGTAAGTCATAATCCTATGTGCTATATTAGTTCCAATTTCTAAGCATTTTCCTTTTTCTGTGCTTTCTTTAAGTATTTCTCAGTATTTTCTTTTTTTCCATAATATGGAAAATGCATGGAAATGATCATTCATCACTAGGAGGTTAATGGATTGTATGGGCCACAGGACTGGGAAAAAGAATGTGGACAGCTGGCTTTGATCACTCTGTACCACAACATAATGCCCACTCAGAGATCCTGAGAGATAAACAGATGTAGAAACTAAGCGACAGTGTCTCTTTGAAAGCTGGTTCCTAAAAAAAATGGCATACGGGGCTCTGTGGGAAGTTCACACTGTGCTCCTGGCTATCTGTAAATCTGGGAGCTCAGTCTTCAGGGCTGACAACTTGCCTGTCTTCAGGAATGCTGAGATTCAGTGGTATTAAAAAGGGAATAGAAGTGGTAAGTGTAGGTGGTTCTTTTAAACTACCTTCAGAGAATACCACTGAAGTATTGTCTTCAAATATATGTATTTATAGCAGCTTGACAATAATGAAGAAAGCTTAGATGTGTAGATCTGTATTTATACAAACGACAAACAGCCTTGTAATTCCAAATCTCTTGGTATTTCTCGCAATAACAAATTTTGGGGACTACATTGAAGTACTTCATATTGTACTCACCAACTCTATATGTATAAGCACCACAGAATTGAACAAAAGGTGGGAGGACTGAACTGCTCTTGAAGCTGAAGACAGCTTTTGCAGCCCCAGAAATTGAAATCAGCTTACGGTGTAAGAGCACATTAAGTGCTCTAAAAAGTGCTTTAAATAAGACAAGCACACTTGCTAGACATTCCCTGTCTTCATTCTGGATTTTTTTTAATTTATTTTTTTTTGTTTTACATGCTGTCAAAATGTGCCACTGGCAAAATCGGATAACATCTTATACAAGATTGATGAAGGACGTGAAAAGAGCTTCAGACAGAAGAAACACAGAGATCTTACGTTTAGCTTAATATTCTTTTGAAACCTCCAAAAACAATCAAACAACCAGACTTCTATATGTTGTTACTAATATATTAGAGTTATAAGTCATAAGAAGTGCTGTCTACCCTTCATCAGTCCCCGGTTTAAGTAGGGAGACTATTTAGAGGTCACCCAGTGCAATACCTGTTTCAAGACTGGCCAGTTTACACTGCTTTGCTTACAGCCTTGTCCAATTAAGTTTTGCATATCTCCAATGAGATATTCCACCACCTCTCTGGACAACAGGCAATGGACACAAATTTCAGAGGTGAGACACCAATTCACCAAAAATTGTATGTTTTGTTATATGGATTCTGCTACAACTGCAGATCTCTGACTGGGTCTAAAGTTTTTGTTTGGATCCAGTCCCAAAAAAGGAGGGATTCAAGAGACCTTGAATCTATCTGTTTCTGATTATCTGAATCTATCCACCTGTCAAGAGACCTTGTTCTCTATATTTGTACACATAAAATTATCTTTTTAAATTGAGAATGATAATAAGACACACTAGGATTCAAGAAGTGAATATATTCCCAGGACACTAGAGAAAATTCTTCCTGATGGAATCCCCATCTCAGTAGGCATGAACATATCATAATGCATCAGAGGAATGTGAGAATTCTCCAGCAACCACAGTGAATATCTTATACTGCTTCTTTGACTAAAGTTTGCAGAACACCATAAGGTGTTCAACTACTGTTCTGGGCACAGTCCTTCACTGCAAAGCAGGATTTCTACATCAGATCTTACTGTTTCACCAGACCAGAAGTTTTGTCAAGTCCTTCCCTTCCCTCTGCATTTCCACAAAGGCATATAAGTTTGTTATGTTAATCACAAGAAACTATTAAAAACTTCTCACTGGCTAAAAAACTTTGTGTCAGTATTATTAAACAGATCTCTAATCAAATATCATTACAAATCATTTCCAAAATAAAACAGTTACTATTTTATTCATTCTTCATGTCAGTTATTTATTGCATGGATGGGAATTAATAAACAGGGTTTCTATGCAAGATGGAAAATTTTTCTTTTTTTTTTTTTCCCCACAAATTTCACATACAGATACTGAAATGTCCAATTGGTCTTTAAAAGTACTTTTACATGAAACATTTAACTTTCTAGAATTAAGCATTACAAGATGGCAGAAAATAGAGAAGAAAAATGGTTTAAAAACTTTACTAACATTAATGGTCCTTGAGGATACTGAAGAGAAGTGAATTGAAAACAAGCTCTTTACCTGTTAACTACCATTTTTTCCCTTTTTTGTGGATAAGTGCAATCCTACAGCTTGAAGGCTACTCATTTCAACTCTCAGTTAATGCATCTATCTCAGAATATTATGATATGGAGCATTTTAATCCGTCTTAACATCTAGTGCACAGACACAAAAACTACCAACTACTATTAATACAAGGAATTGATTAGTAGAGGAGACAGGACATGCAAGCTTATTTGTGTGCCTACACAGGCATAAGCTTCTGCAAGTCTGTGTTGTGTTAATATATACATATATATACACACACATACACACTCACTCACACACAATGACCATACAAAAGTCAAGGAATTTTTAGAAATAGTTCTTTTTTTTTTTTCCCTGCAAGAATTACTTGCAGGAATAATAAAAGATTTTTCAGCGTCAACTGATACTATATAAAGTTCATTCCATGAAGGATAACTTTGAAGGACTGAGAGTAGTGAGCAGTTAAAGAAACAATGAAGCATTAAAGAAACAGTTTCAGAATATACTGTTTTGTTCTTATGTATCTATTGCATGTATACTATTTTCAGCATACCTACTGGTAACATCAAACTATCCTGACTATACCAAACTCTACAAAAGAGAATTCCATTTGTGAACGTAACCACATAGCATAGTATCAAAACATGACACTAGGCCATGGTATCACTTTAGTTACATATTATCTTATACACAAGTCATTTTATCTTTAAGAAGTAAAGAGAAAGTTACTGCATTTTCTCTTTTGATTAAAAAATGAAATGATAAATGTAATAGGGGAGATGGGACTTCCAGATAAAAACAGCACACTGCAGAAGACCATGATAACTTGCTCAAGCTCAGGATCTGGACCAGGTAGTCTCATAAGAAAAAAAAATATGTATTGCACAGTGTTCAGTATTACTATTGTAACACATTAGACTCTCATCACTAATCTTAAATGACCATAAGAACATCTAAAAATGAACACATGAATTCTGTCAGCTTCCCATCTACAAGAATTCAACATACTTATATTAATACATACATATTAATTCAATAGAACCATGCACCACATATAAAACTAACAACCTACTTTGTAACCTCCGTGTGGGACTCTCGCCATGGAGTTGTCTGCGTGGCAAATATGGTGAGGGATGGGGGAGTGGCAATGAAGAGACATCATGTGTTTGAAGTTTGTACCAGTGAGGTTCATCATCTAGTAACGCTGTCTCTAACTCAATAAGAATCTAAAATAGAAAAAATGATTAAAAGTAGAAAAGCATTGTATAACAACTTCTTAAAATATGTGTGTTCATAAATTTTATTCTATTATTCTGTTACTGTTAGGGAGTTTGTCTTATAAGTTAAGGAGTTTGTCTTTTAAAAGTTTCTGCACTTTAAAAAAAAAATAAATCTGCATTTTAAAAAAATCTGCATTTAATATGAATCTGTTCCTGTACCTTTATATAACCAAATACACCAAAATCTTTCACAAGACCTTATTAAAATCTTAACAGCATTAGAGTATTTTGTAGCAAGTTAGTCAGCAACATTCCAATATTCTGGTAAAATAAAGCTATGGATAATATAGATTTTATTAAACAGTTCTCAAAGAATTTGAGAAACCATGTGCATCCTGCTATTAAAACAGAACAAATACAGAAAGAATCTTGTATCAATACTATATGCCAAATACTACTAAATGAAAATAAGGACAAATACAACAAATTAAAGCATCTTTGCTTTGCTACATTTAGTTATTTTATTGAAAAACACTATATCTTGAATGTGTGAACAAATATATTCCTGTAACAACTAACAGTAATTGTATACCTCTCCTAAAAATTCACTTTCTTCCTCTCGAACTCGTGCTTGGTCCCAAAGAGTAATTTCTAACATTCGTTCTCTAAATTCTCTCCGATGAACTGGAGAATAAATAAATGTCTGGTTCCACTTAGGTTCCAATGTTTTCTTTACTGTTTTGGTTCTTCTTTTATTTTTATCACTGCAAAAAACAATCAAATACTTTAAAAGTTTGATAGACAATTAAGCTGTAATAAGCATATTGTGGAAAGCAGCAAATATTAAACCAGACTGTGTAGTATTATGGAAGTAGTATGATAACGTATGTCTGTTTTATCATTAAAGACAAATTCTAAGTTCAGCATAATTCATAACTTCATATTAAAACCTAAAGTCAGCTGAATTCCCAGTTCACATGCCAATTCCAATTTTAAGAAATTCTCTGAAAGCCAAAAATGTTTTAATAAGTTTGTTTTGCAAGCAGCAAACATGGAGTTTTTATAAATTGATATACTTCTGTAGATGGAATTCCCATGAGCACATGTATGCAGACAACATTGGGCACAGCAAAAATGCATTTCAGATAATTGAGCCAGCAGGTTCACTCAGAATTTCTAGTCCTACAGCAGCTGGCCCCAAAGGTGCAGAGCAGGAGGGAGCAGCTGGCCCCATACACAGGGAGCCGTTGGCAGTGTGGGGCCGCTCTGCACAGGGTGCTCCTGACTATGGGTTGCACAGCCACAAAACCAGAAGCCCTGAAAATGAGTTACATTAATTCTTCCAGCAACAGTGTCAGGAATAGTGTTCTCAAAACAGCTCTCCAAATCCTTTGGGTCCCCAGGTTGAAGGCAGATCTCCACTGCAAGGTGGGCCTGACCCGTTGGAGCCTCATGTAAGGCTACCAGGAGAGTCCTGGCTTGGACTCATGGGTGCTGTTGAAAGCAAAGTGTTTCTCAGAACATTTCTGCTTGAAAGAATTAATATTTTCTGATGGCAATGAGTTTCACTGGAAAACACCCACGCTCATTCTACTGAGAATACCGAGAAGAGTTCTCAGAACAATGCTTAATTTTAAACCTGCTGATAGCTGCATAATGCAGCTGTGGTATTAATTTATGTAGATTTTTTAATATGGCAATGAAGTTTGGAAGTACTTGCAACTGTAATATAGTTACTGAATTTCTGAACTATTACTTAGAAACTGGGTCAATGTATTAACTAAGAAATAATATTTTTAGACACATTGTTAAAGCAAATAATGCAATTATTTCTATTACACTAAAATTTGTTTACCCTTGAGAATTAAAATAAGTTATACTGGACAAGCTTTTCCAATCAAATTTGTTTAATCAAAGAGAATTCTGTGTCTTCCTCTAATTAAATGCTTGACTTATTTAAGCGTATTTTACCTCTAGCACGTTTCCTTCTCTTACACTAGAAATATATTTTGCTTACTTAGCTTTTACATCTAAGCAAAGGAAAATGAATTTTACTGCCAGGAGAAAAACAAAAAAAAAACAAACACCAACCTAATTCAACAAGACAACTTGCTTATTCTTATGTATGTGGTAGAAAACCCATAGAATAATTAGAGTTCTGAATACTTCACATAAATAGGAAAAAGATGAAATCATTCTTGAGAAACATGAATTATTATAAAATAATAAATTTCATGTTATGTAACTTTCCATAACTGCACACCCACATTATTTAATTAATTAACTTTCTCATACGTATTCTGAGTTATTAGAGTTTACAGTGAAGTATTACGAAGACATTTTTGGTAGTTTCATTAATCTTCAAAAAGCAGGTAAGATAATTTAAGCACACCTGATATTCAGTTTAGCATAGCCTTAGCATCTCCATACATACTACAGCAATTTGAATAAACTAAGAATCTAGTCCATCAGTCCAAATGTTGTTCAGCCCAGGACAACTCATTCAAAACCTCTTTATAAATTATACAGAAACATATGCAGTCACAGAAGATTATCGCCTGTTATCATATGGCACACAATGAAAGTGTAAAAGCAATGTCTTTCAAAATACTCAATAGCTTTAATTTCTGCTGAAGTCAATTGGCACTGAAGATAGTTAGCATCTTCCCAGCTTAGATATTATAAAAAGCAAAGGATGTAAAAACAAACTAGGAAGTTACATCTCCAGATTCAGCAATCTACTGGTTAATCTTTAATGTACTGAGTCAGGTTAAATCTTCAAATTATTTGATTGATACACTATAAAATAAACATTTTCCCTTACTGACATGATCTGAAGAAATATCAATAACAAAAATCTGTTGGGGAACATACTATGCTCTTTGTTATTATTCCCAACTCTAACGTGCAAGTAACAGAAAATCGTGGACAAAGAATGAAGGAGATATTTGGGAATAAGGAGCCTTACCACAGTTTCATTTTTTCTAAATACATATGTAATACACTATCCCAGACTAATATCAATCCTTTGCTTTGGGAAAAGTCTTCAAGTTGCATCTGGGAATTCTCAGTAACTTGTCCATTTTAAGTCTCCTTCAGCCTTAATTCACTAATAGTGTGATATGAAATCTATTGGGTTTTGGATGTCAGAACTTTTCCTGCTTAAGTGTGGGACACACCAAACAGCTGGGCTGATCAGTCCAGAAATCTGTGAACCTACCTTTGCAGCATTTTCTTTGCACTATACAGGAATAACTGTCATAGAAAATAAGGGCATTATAAAACACTAACAACATGCTTTGCAAGTAACAGTTCCTCATGCAGTGATGTAACGTTTACCTTATTGTTTTCTATTCAGTATTTAATAAAATACACAGTGAAAGTGAGTTAGCATTCAGCATCCAAAGACAAACCACTATTACACAGAACATTCAATTAAGAAACTTCAGACTGTAGTATTTTTCCATAAGTGCGTGACCAGTAAGCTCAGCTGTGCATGACATCTGAGTATCAGACTAATTCTTACTCAAACATTCCTTGTTGTTCTGTTCACCCTACCTTCTGTCTGGAAGAAAGTAAATTTTAACATAAGGATTCCTTGGCCTCCCATCTTCCCTTGAAGGAAGATCCTTTGCTCCCAATATTGTCACTATTAACTGATGACCAACCTTGTCATACCATAGTTTTATCTGTAATGAGAAAATATTAATTAGTGAACTCATTTCTACAACAAAGCACCATATTAAATTTTAAAATTAATTTTGCTCATTAGCTTCTATTTATATCAGTTACTTAAACACAAAATATTATGTTCTACTCTGTTTTTGTAATAAAGCATAAAAACAAATTAAAACTGCAATAGCTTCAGTAAGTACCAGGAGTTACTCATTTTTAAAACCCTGTACCGTAAGTACATTATTTCATACTAATTGTTTTTCACGTGGTGCTAAGGTTAGGATTATTGTCTCTTGGCAGTGGTATTGTATTACTTGCATTACTGATGTCTGGTATTCCTATGTATACATTTCTACGTAGTTTATGCACAGTGAATGAATGAATGTTTCATGTCCTGTTGTGCTGGAAAGACTATGGAATAAATCCATAAATATTTAAAATCTCTAAATGTTTTTCAAGATGTGGAGGCTCATGCTAAAATCAAGCAAGCCCTCCGGGAATCCTAAGAGAGGGAGTTTCAATAGAACAACCTCTTCCCAGTCCTACCCAGCAACAACAAGGCAAAAACTACCATTACTCATCTGGATAAATTATTATTAATTGGTCTTAGACTTGGCCTAGCAAGTATTTTTACTACACTCAGTAGATGCTGCTATTTAGCTATTCCAGTTTGAATAGTATAGTTGCAAATGCAGTATTCAAGGAGATGATACACCTACTTTAGAACACTGTGGCAGGGGGAAATGGGGCAGGTAGGACAAAACAAAGCTTTTCAAATAACATGGGAGTCATTACATGGTGGTACCACCATGATATTAACTACAACTGACAGAGGAGGCCCTCTTCATGGGGAACTTGCTTGAGAGAGAGGACAAACTAGGACATTTAAAAGAAACAATGTCCCTCCCTGAACTTACAGGAATTGGTGAAGGTAATGCCTCGCTCAACACTTAACAAAGCTGTGCACCTTTAGGCATGAATACACCCCTCCTGAGGTAAACATCCCCAGGGACAGCTGTACTTTTTGTGGAGCCCATCTGACATCATTTCAGAGACAGGGTCTCCATCTACTGTCAGAGCTCTTCAGCACTAAAGTCACTTCAAGAAAGGTCTTGATACAATTCTCAGGTCTCCAGACCAACCAACATGAGGTGGGTTCAGCTTTCTGCTGGGCCTACTTACTGCAGTAAGTGAGATGACACTAACACACACCCACACATTCAGTGGTGGGAGGGTACTTCTTCCTACTCCATTAAAACCTTAAAACCCTATAGCTACCAACCACCAGTGTTGGGATATTAGAGGATGGGGGATACCTATCCTCTATTATCATGCTATTGGCCCTGCTACTGGGTTTGTAGGTTTCTGGTACAGACAGTTAAAGGGCTCCCTGACTCCTGAAGCAAAAAACTGGGTGAGATAAATTATCCCTAATAAGTTTCATTCAACAGAGCTCTAGATGCTGCTCCTCCATTCCTGCAAAGTGAGAGAATTTGTCAGTGTTTATCTAAATTGAGAATTATCTGCACTATCAGTTATCTTCATCCAACTACAGATAACAAATAGAAAGCTTTTCACCAACAATATGAACCCAAAGAGAGCTTTGATGAAGCAAAGTTGCACTGAAGACAATTTTGTCATCTACTTATTTAGGAGAAAAAATATCCTCAATTTAGCAGAATGCAATGCATTTGTGATCCAGACAGTATCACAAACATAGTGAAGTTGAGATAATCCACACCTGGGTACCCAAATATAACCAGAATTATTCATTCTTATTCAGGCTAAATACTTCTTTCCCTTAGTTGTTTGACTGAACTTTTGCAAGAAGACTTTGGCCAAAGTGGTTTGGAGAAGGAGCCTAAGGGCTCATCTTAAATCATCTGAGTTAAATCATCTGACACTATTTCTTTGAGAAAGTTGTGTTTTGCCTTAAGAACTCAAAATTTCCATTGACACATAGCTTCTGCTCCTCTATTAATACTCTCACAAAATTTGGAAAAACCTGTACATAATGGTCATAATGTTCCTGTCATTCCCTGTACTTTGTCTTGTTACTGGCCAGAGCAGAAAGCAGAATTTCAACCAAAAGCGTCTTTCTCCTGTGTTCACATTGCTAACACCCAGTACACAGCACAGGCTCTTGCAACCCACAAAGTCATTTGATTTGAATGCAAAAAGAAGAGAAGAAACCAAAACCAAGAGTGAGGGAATGGATGAGGAGCCCCACAGAGGGGAGGATGCGATTGAATTCTCATGGGGTTAGAAAAAGGAAGAGGGGATAAATAAGAATTTGCTTTAGGACGACTAGGAAAGTTAAATATACTGGATGTTTCTTGGTGAAGCACAGGAACGCCACTGATGTCAGAAGAAGAGCGTCAAAACCAGACTGGGTGAGAGAAATGGAAGGAGGTGACAAAAGAACTACACAGTCAGTATTGTCATGTGGAACACCAGATGTATAACAGGAAAGCTGATAAGGAAATTATTTTTTTTTCCTTTATAGCTGTGTTGAGTAATATGCAGAAAAGATTCCTACCAACAGAAAGTGAAGAACATTGAATTATTCTAGTCACAGGGTGAAAGACCCACAGGAATGCACAGCTGTTGTGATGCTCAGCACTGAAAGACTGAGGCAGCTGACAAATGGAGCAGAACCTATAAACTACCCCCTGCACCAGCAGTTTTTAATAGATGTAGGAAACGCATATTTAAGAGGAGGTAACTCAAAAAAAAATCTAAGAAACTGCGACAGGTGCAATTCTGATCCAAATGGGGGGAAATGAATGCCAAAATGACAACACATAAAATATGACATAATAATGTCACGATGGCTGGTGCTAATGTGGAGGTTAACACCTGTAGGAAATGTCTTGAATAGGGCTTCGTCTACCTAGGTAATTTAGGATGTAAGCAACTGAAATATATTTAGTCAGAAAGCGATCCCACATGAAGGCTTTCCAAACTAAGGCCCAGCACTAAGGCTTTCCTTAGTGTTGAAGTTCTGAGTTCTGGAAACTTATTAGCCACACACATGCTCATATCTTCCCTAGACAGAAGTGCACCTAATTCTTGACTAGATTTCTGTTATGACCTACATTCTGGCAAACAGGTATCTGAACTCAGTAGGTCCTGAAGTTGTGAGATGGTCTGTCATCCACTGAGTGACGTATCTGCTGAACTCCTTGAGATGGGCTTCTAGGCAGGAATACCTGATATGCAGAGAATAAACAAGAACTCTTCTACAGACTGACAATAAAGATACTCATCAGGGGCAGCACAGAGAGGGGACAGAGCTGAAGGTCTGGCCCCAGCTTCACAGAATTCTTCCTGGTTCTTATCCAACGGGGGTACAATACAAGATCAATACACACTTTGGTTAGTGAGTCTGGAACCTGCTACACTAAAATTAAGCTTTCTTTGCTATCACCACACACTTAGGCTCCTGGCCACACAGTGTCTCAGCTTCAGAGAAGACTTCACACTCCAGAAAAGAAAAGGATGTGCAATAGCTTGACGATAAAAGCACCTCTCTAAGAGACAAGTTCAGTCTCTTCACTCTAAAACACAGATGTCCAGTTTCTGGAATGAGTCACATAAAACAGTATATAAAAGGCTTTATATATAAAGGGCTGGTGATGCATTCTAAGAACCAAAAGTTCTGGAGTAGCCTAAGTTTCAAGTAGAGTTAACGAGGATAGATGTGCTTTATTTGGGGTGAATCCCCCACTGCAGGTATTGAGGTACCCAGTTTTCCTTCAACTGGGTAAGTCAAAGCTCTTCCACAAAGCACCTTAAGCTCGTATTAATTAAGCTCCATAAATTAAGTGCAAAAATTCAGTTTACTAGATTTCACCCTTCTTCTTTTAGATCTTGCCTTAATAAAGATTCTAAATAATGAACGAGCTCAGAGTTCTAGAAAAGAAGTAATCATGTAATTAGGACCATCCCAGCCAAACTGCTCAAACATCACTAGGTCTCCATTTATTTTAAAAAATGCAATTATTTTGGACTAAATTTATGTGGATGAAGGAATTGCCCTGAGGTGGTAGAATCTCTATTGTAGCTTCGGTGAGCTTTGGTTGTTCTCTAATCTACCTCTGACAAATGCTGACTACTCAAAGTTGTTAAATCAAACGACCATTGCTGTCTTTGGGTTGCTGTCCTAGATGCTGGAACAAATGCAAGAAAAGGCTGTTAAAAAAAAGATCTTCTAGGTTTTGAACACCAGAAAATTATGGAGGTACTAAAGCTACCCTGATGTAGATACGCTACAAATTTCTTTTTTAGTGGCTCCATTTTGATTTCAATAATGCTAAATAGATGTGTGCACATATTTTTATACAAGATCAAACACACTGATGTTCTGTAGTAAAGCAAAAGAGATGTCTTAAATTTTTGAAGTTAGGAAAAAAAACATTGGTTTAATGGCAACTGGCTCAAAAGGAGGCTCCGCAGAGTGAACAAGAGATAATGCACGAAAACACATTTAAGAACAGTTCTTCTATGAAGATATTGCATAACAGCATTCTGTAAGTAAGAAAACTGCTGGTATGTTAAAACGATTCTAAAAGTTCAAGTAATAAATATGCACACTTCCAAGTGCTGTATATGTAGTAAAAGTTTGGGATAAGGGTGCATAGTAGGGAAAAATGAAATTGAATATTTTTCTTTCCAATAAAAGAAAAAGGATATTTTTTAAATCATCCAGTGATAAAAGAGAGAGAAAATGAGCTGAATGACATGGACAGAAGTGTGGAGGAGGAACTTGTGCCAGAATCTGGGACACGTATCACCAGGATCACTTTCAGACTAACAAGTAGAGAAGATAAGAGCAAGAATAATGATGTGCATTTCCTGTTAAAAGCAGTGAAACAAATAGGTATAAACAGAAACGTTTGGAGATCCTCATTCTTGTAGGGAATTCTACAGACACAGCTATACCAAAGCCCACAGTGTAATGCATACCTCTTGGCATCCACAAACAACAGCTCAGAGCTCTGTGCTAGCTAATTGCTCATGCCAAAAAGTAACCAGAGTCCTGCACTGCTTCTGGACTGCTTCTAATGCCCAAGTCAGCTTGCTTAAAGATAGATCACTGGAGAATTTCTGTTCTTCCCTGCAACCTGCATTGTAAACAAATATTAAATTAATCCATCTTAAACTACCTACTTTCCCTACGAGACACGGGCAGATGGGGGACTTCTTGTTTCAGCCTAATCTTAAAGATGTTGCCAAGGTCGTAAGCTTGAGTTCCTTGGGAGCTTCTTGGAGCTCCTCTAATAAACACATTTGGCTTCAACTAGGATTGAGCTCTGCAAAAACCTCTTAGGTGAGAGGCCTGCACTGACTCCACAGACATCGTGCAGAAACAAAATCGGAGCTGAAGGTAGTTTGAATCTCCAATACCATGTGCAACGTAAATTATTTTGTTCTGTGTTGTTTTTTTTATGTGTGGGTGTTTTTTTTTTTCCCCATTAGAAGGTATTACTCTAAGTAGAACTGACAATTTTTACATCTATTTCTTTTTACAATGGGGTTTAAATGCAGGACTACTACTTGTTACTTCTACTTTACAATATTTTGTGAAATATGCAAGTTTCAGGCATTTGTTTCCTTTTTAAATTGAACACTCAGTTGTCATATTATTTCCTAATTTATTTTGCACATACATAAAAGACTACTTGTGTTATATACAACATTTACCTCTGTGAACTACTTATCAATTTGTGAGTGGCTTTGCACCCCCTTTGGTTTCATTACCACAAGCAGAAGCCAACTTTCTCAATCATGATAAAGGACATTTTAAATTTTTAATAGAAAGCCAGTTATGTCAGTAGCACATAGTAACATTAAAAAAAAAATCCAATAACATTTTTGAGATTTAAAAACTAATGTCTTGACAATTCTGTTTTATTAATTTCGAGTTTATATTTATGCATTTGTAAGGGCTACTTTAGGGAAATAATATATTGTGAAAAAAAAAAATGTGTTTTATTAAAGTCTGAGTCATAACCAAACGACTTCCTGCAGTCTTATTTAGAATTCTTTTTATAAACTTGTATGATTTTTTTTTTCCATTTCAATATGAGATTTCATCATCTCATTCTCATCATTTAGATACAGTCCTTTGCATTTTTCTTAAGCAAACATGGGGAACATTTATACGGCTCCCAGACAAAAGATTAACATCTCCATAAAGGTATTTTGTAAGAAAAGCAGATAATATTCTAAATACACAAAACTGAAAAACATGCAGCAAAGCAAGATAAGCATTGTTAACGTATTAGTAAAACCTACTTTTGCATTAATCTACAGTACCTTAGGAGTTTCCTAATGAAAAAAGGCAAACAACTTGTACCTAAGTAGAATATCAAGGCTACATAAATTCAGTAACACAAAGGAAGAGTTTGTTTTTTACTTAACAGAATTTTGGTTATTTTGACGTGCTTTTAAAATCTAAGAACCGAGTTTCATACGCAAGAAATTTGTTTCAAAGGTACAAATTTATTTGCCTGTCTTCCACTCAAGGCGCTACTATTATTTGGAAAATGCAAAAAAAGGATGTGTTAAGTAATGATAATGAATGATTTAAAGAGACATCAATCTTTGTATAATGGCCTCGAACATCAACAGCATAAAATTATTTATTGCTTAACAGTACGCACATTTTGTATGTGGGATACATACCCATCATGACTGTTGAAACCTGTGTGAGTTATTACTGTGCAAACGGCAAAACAAAAGCTAGTTGTCTCTTTAAATTGCAATTTAGTATTTTAACCTCCATGCAGAACTTTACAAGCTGCTCACAAGATGACATGAAACTTGTTAATATGGCTTAAAGCAACACACTAAAAATATGGGAAAACGGACTATAATGTAACGTTTTCCTACTATGCATTTTCCATAACAAACAAAAGAAAAAACACAACTTTAGTTTCTGTCAGGCAGACGAAGTCTTTACCTGAACCCTAGGAACAAAAGGCGTTGTTCTTCTACTAAGGCTTTGGCTCTGGTAAGCAAAATTAAAGAAAAAGCAATAAAACAAAACCAAAAAGGACAACACGCTGGAAACTAAAAGACCAAAAGTAAAAACAAAGACACACAACTATTACTTTAAACACAGCTTTACACCAAGGACATATTTATCTAAAACAAAGTATTTTAATGCAATGCATAAATTAAATCTGCAAATCTATTACCAGATCACATCAAACCCCTGTGACTGAAATTCTGACCTTAGGGAAGTCAGCAGGAATTTTGCCAGTGATTCCCCAGGAGCAAGGATTTCACTTTACAGGTCTACAGGTAATATTTACAATAGATTTTGAAATAACATCAACAAAAGGAGCAGGTCAGCAAAGTGTGATTTAAAAGTGGGGTAGAAAATATAAATTGAGCTTGAACATCTCTTTCAGAAAGACTGTAGATGCATATTCAGACACAGAAACGAGTACAGAGCACACATCGACAGCTTCGGTTGCTTTCTAGAGTAAAGCAAGTAAAGTAAAAGGTTTTCCCTGTTCTGTAACTCAGGTGACATTTCTATAAAAAAGCCGTTCTAAATACTTTTAACAGGATTAAAAGAAAGTGCTATCTCATTATAGCTTTACAGGGTGGAAGCTGCAATCAGTGTATTTCAATTCTTTAGCAATCATGACAGAAATGACATACGGTATATACAGAAGACCCTGGCATGAAATGGGACCTAGAACATTTAACATAGCTGCACAGTACACACAGACTCAATTATAACCCTCATCTGTGCAATGTTAACACTTCGGACCATATATCACCTTGTGGATCCTAGTGGCTACATGAAAACTACATCAGGAGAGGCAAGCTCCCAAATTCCTGCTCTAGCTCCAAGCTCCAAGCACTCTCTGTTTTTGGTGTAGGGCAATAGACACAGACAGGGTACTGAGCATGCAGAATGGACAGGAACGGGAGCAGGTTGATACTTCAGAGAGCTGGTGAGCTGGGGTAGGTCACAACAACCACAGCAATCCAACAGTGCTGAACCTCCTTTCCCTCCTGCTAGGCTTTCCTGAGACTATCAGTCTGTTCCAAAGTGGTGAAACGAGGCTACTGCTCGATATTCCTTTCCATAAGGACTGTACCCAGAATATGGAGATAAGGCAGAGATGATGGTTCTGCCACCCTCCTTGCTTACTTGGCATGCACAGATGCTGGAGAAATCTGTTCCATAAAACGTGTGAAGTAATCTGTTCTCACACCAAAGTACGAGGATATGTAAGACAATTTGACAGTCTGAATCACGGTTTTGTCTGATGTGCCACCGCGCTTGGCGAGGTGCAGCAGCTGCACGCTGCCCCCACTGCACTGGCAGTTCCTCAGAGCCCCAAGTAAGGGTGCCAGAATATCACCTACTCACGCACAACGAAAGCAGATCTTCAGCTTGCTTCTGCTCCGTATCACAACAGAAATACAGATATTCCAGAATATCACAATTCTAAAAGGGACAGAATGTATCCCACCTTGCACCAAAGACCCTCACTGGCCATATTCTACCTTGGAAATGGAGGGCCATAAGCATATTGTGTGCAATACCTGGATTTGCAGGTCTGAGCTTTAGAGCAACATCAATTTGCTTGACTTGAGACAAAGAGAACAGAAAGGGGAAAAGAAAACGAAAACTAGAAAGGGGAGCGTTTCTCATACTCAAAACCTCCTGCTCCCATATGCTGACATATTATGTCCTTTCCAATGTACAATATCTGCTTTTAATATGCTACAGATAATTCAACTGTAGTTTATATACTTGCATTTTTATTACTATATAAATTGAATATACATGGAAAATCTACTTAAACTGTTCTGTAGTTCGGCTGTACAAAGAAATAGTTAATTTTATAAGTAAAAACCCTCTTATGTTAGGATTTCCACCAGCACAAAAACTAAATACTGTGATTTTATGTCTGTATGCGTTTAGACGTTCTTCTAGCCATGTTGTCAGTCTCTAAACCTAGCTATAGCCGAAGCTTTCCAAGTTATGCTTTTCATGCAGCACTGGAAGTAGCCAGAATGCAGTAATGAAGCAAAGAGCACCAACACACCAAGACTACTGACTTATTCAAAGCGACAGTAAAAGAAAAACAAACCAGTGGAGGGAAAATAAATAAATAAATAAATACAAACAACGCAGAAATAGGAACCAAAGCAAATAAAAAAACAGTAAGTGCAACAAAAGTTAAAGATACTCCCCTTAAAAAGCAATGTGGATCAAAAATACCGTAAAATAAACTGCACAGAATACAGGTAACATTATTCATACACCTTGGTAAAATTGTAACACACAATAGTTCACCACAGCTGCACATAATTTGTTTCAATAAAATGTATACTTGAGTAGAATAATTACTAATGGAAACAATATTTCCTAGTTATGTGAGATGGTTTACTTCATGGGAAAACCTGTTAGCCATCTCTGGAGTGTTACTGTAACCTCAACAAAGGAAAGACATACACAGACTAATGCCAAGGCAAAGAAAACATGGAAAACTGAAGAGGCAGAGAAAGGTGTCCCTGAATAGTAGAGAGGCATCATGACAACTAAACTGACTGAACAAGTACTGTAGCATAGCCTGAAACACATGAGATTCAACCCAGCAAGCACTGGAAACACATCCTCTTTCATTTTAAAGTAGTATTTAAAATCAATATAATTTTAAATACTGCTTTAAATACTACTTTAAAATAATACTTTAAATACTACTTTAAAATACTACTAGTATTTTAAAAAGAAGTAAAGTAGAATTTCTTATTTTTGTCAAGTTAAATGTGTATAAACTTAGCTTCTGATGTAAATATGTACCTAAAATACTGCAATTTTGAAACCTTTTGTAACAAAACTGCTGATTCACCTCAAAAGCGTTTATAGTTTCTCTGTCTCTCTAAAAAGCCTGTCACTGAAGACTGTAGATTATGTACTGAATTATAAATGTCTTGGCCAAGGAATACAATCAGATAAGAACTCCATCAGTTTTTTGCATACAAGGCCTTTAAGACCAAACCAAAACTCTACTCAGCACTATCTACCTATACAGATAAATATACAAAATCCAACACAACAATTGTGCCAAAATATGTCTGGACACACATTTTACTTTGAGCTTGCTACATATTTAAGACCCCACAAAGACATTTGAGACAGGCTGAAGTATACATGGGAAAAACTGAAGTAGTACACAACATTGCCAAAATACCTAGAAGAGGAAGCAGAAAACCTACGCTTTCCATTGTACTGGTATTAAGAATGCTTCCTAGTACATTCTGGGCACAACAAATTTCATAGCACCACTAACTAAACAAAAAAGAAAAAAGAAAGAAAAAAAAAAAACACACTTGAGATCTGCCTTACTGTCTGAATAAGGATGCATATATCCAAGCATTTCTTCAAATTTCAGATATCAACCAAACTGTAGGTTCCTCCACTTCTGCCCACAACTCAGTTAATTCACAGCCTGTTGCACACAGCTGCCCTAACAGCATCCCATGAGGACTACGTGCTACTGTCCGTAAGTACAGAAGACATTTCTGAAGTCTTCTCTATCATCCCTTCCCTCAGCTTCATCCCACCTGTCTGGAAGCCACCACCTCTCAGAACTCAGTTGACCCTCCATTTCCACCAAGGACAGCAGCCTGTTGCCATCTACCATCGGGATCCTGCAGTTATTCTCCTGCTTCAACACTCACCATAAAAAGCACATTCCCAATTACATAGGGAATTAGTATTTTTTTCCTTTTCCATCTACTCAGCTATTTGGAATGAAAGAGTGAATCAGCTCTCAAAAAAGAACTGATTAAAAACATGGAAAACCAAAATACTGAAGCTCTTCCATTTTGTACTGATCAAACTAAAATATTTCTTTTGCAATTTGGAGAGATGCTTTGTTTCAGAATTTCAGTCTTTGTTTCAGGATTTCAGTTTTCCATATTTCTTAATCTTTGCTAAAGGTACAAAATTAAACTAGCCAACTTTTCCAAAGTTCAGAAACTACTTAAAGTTATGAAATGAGAAAGCAACATTTTAAAAAGTGAAAGAAAATATTTGTACTGCACCATCTTGAAAACACATAAATCCCCTAATCTGAAAAGCCGAAAATTTTGATTTTCAAAACTAACTTTAAATATCAGTTCAAAAAGAAATTACAAGTATCTACCATTTTGAAAGAGATTGTTTCTTTAGAACACTCCAATCTCTTGAAGTCGTCTTTTTCTAAAACTGTAGTTTCAATGAGCCCTCTTTTATTCTAGGGGAAATTCCTGTTGTGTGCCCTGCTGAAATCTATCCACACCGTCCTCAGACACTGAGAGAGCCACAGTTCCTCACAAAGCAGAAGGTTTAGCACCAGCCTCCCAACAGCAGCAGGAGCCGGGTTGTGCCATTAGCACAGTAACACCATCTATAGCTCCTGCCAACTTGTCTTTAGCTGGACAGTGGGACATTATGTTAGAGAGGTAGGGTGTTTCTGACCTCAGTGATAGCCTGTGGGTTCTCAGAAATCAGCTGCTCTCTGAGGGAAACGAGGAAATTGTGCAGTTTGGGATTATTGTATGCAATTGCATACGGTTTATAACGTAGTTAGAAAGAGGACAAATGTAGGAAAGATCTTTAAACATCTTCTAGCATTATTTGCTTTCCTTAGGTGGAAAGAAATATTACAAAATTAATGAAGGAATTTGTATCTTGAAACAAACAAACAAAAAAAATACTGTAAATAGGCATGATGCTTCCTTGAGTTAAACTCTGAACTTACATGCCATTCTGAGTTGTAAAACACTGAATTCTGTTATTCTCAGTAAATTAGAATATATCTCCAAATCTCCATTTACTGTTCTTACACATCTCAAACTACAACATCCTATCAAAACACAAAAGCAACAGACTTACTAACTTCACTAATAAACCTTAATACTAAACTCCAGGGGATTTTCTTTCTGAAACTGAGGAAGTCAGTTCTGTGTTCTTTCTACTTGGATCATTATTTTGCATTGTCTGTGTATGGGTTCTGACTTTTCTTATAGCCTAATCTTTTAAGAGATTTAGCCAAAAGAGACTTCTACACCACCGTTTCAATTATCAACAACTTTTCACTGTTTTGTAAAAGTCTAGTCATTTTTAGACACCTCGGTCTGTGTTTTTTGACAGTTCACGTTTCTATTCCCTTCCCACCGTATTTCATGCAGTCAAAGCATTCTGCACTCTACAGCCAGGATTTCTAGTTGTCCATTTATCCAAAGGATGGACTCTTCCAAAGGAGTTGAGAACAGCAGTTACAGCAAATTTCAAATTATGTCTTGTAGATGGCTGGTCTGACGAGCAAAACAAGTAACGCCTCATGCACTGCAAAATGGAGCCAACATGGCTGCTGAATAGACAGAAAAATGTTTCTTCCTCTCCTCTATCAATACCATAAGCCATTTGTAGGAGACCAGAAACAGTCTGCTTTGATTTTATGCATACTTTTATAGCCCACTCATTATCTTAACATAAACAACTTAGAAGAAATATAAATGTGACATTTTCAAACATGTTTTGCATCGGTTCTGCACAGCTTCCATTCTGTTTCCTCTCATTTTCAACACGTACCAGGCCACAGCTGAACAGTTTTGAAAAAAATCACACTTTGGAGTCGTAAATGCCACAGAAATGCATACAAAACCTAAGTCCTTCAGTTCAGTACAAAAAAAAAAAAAAAAAACAAAAAAAAAACCTCTTTTAAAGAGGACATTCAAATAATGAACCTTGTTCTCAATGAGAGTGAAGAACAAAAGTGAATTAACAATGGTACAAAGAATACAACATTAGTAAACAACGGGATATCTGGGGAAAGGTATAAGTGAAAGCTAGTGCGTAGAACATAAGAAGTATTAATGTCCAAGCACATGGTTGATAAAATCCACCATAAGCGTTACAGTTGACGAAGTATATACATTCAACAGCACAAACACAACTGGAGGCCAACGTTTGGTCTTTCTGAAAATTTGACAATATCAATTTAGCTTACTACATAAATATATGTATCTATGTCTAATTCAACATATTTTAAATTTCCAAAAGCTAATAAAATGGAATATTGTTATGAAACTACGGTCCTGCCTATACTGAGATATATACCATTAATAAAATATTTAGCTGGTTTAACAAGAAATTTGTTACAGGTTGCTTGGACTCTGTACTGAGAGTTGTACATGCTGCAAAAAGCACAACATTAATATTAATGAAATGATTACATACTGAAAGTTGTCCAGACAAGAACTGTGGAACATCCCTTAACATGCCAGGACTCATAGGAGAAGTCACAGAAATAGAAGGTCGGTCCATTTTCTGAGATTCAAATGAACTAGAACCTGCAATTATAAATAAAAATATTTTATAAATAGTGGCACTTATGCATTTTTCATAGCGTTCTTTCAATAAAAGGGATACAAATATAACCACACACACAATAAAGTTCACTGTGATAAATATCGTATTTTTATCTATAAAATGACTGAGTAACGACACTCAATCTTCTGATGCTCAGATGCAATCAAAAGCTTTCCAAGTTTATAGCTGCAAAATGTCATCTCAAGCGCATAGAACAAATAATAGCTCATTCAGATGCTTGCCAAAGTAATCATGTCAGTAAGTTGAAGGCCCCAAATTCCTATTTACTTTACTGTGGTAAAAGGAATTCAGTCTTCCAAAGAGCACTTATTATCTTGTGCAATCAGACTTAATTAGATTTTTACAAAAAAATATCAAGATGCACATAACATATTTTGTGCATTTTGTTTCAAATCCACAAGGTCTGCAAGCTCTCAAAGGACAAATTTTGAGTTACAAAAAGTCACAAAATTTAAAATATATTTTAAAGAATTGGCTGACCAGTGAAAAGTTATAGTTTATCACGTTATTATATGCAAGTTTATACCACTGTATTAATTTACAGCTTCTGTTTTAAAAGAGTTCCAAAACAATGATAAAAATAACTCCAGGCTTAATTCCATCCTACCAGATCTGCACCAAAAAATAAGTTATTTTTCCCACACAAAATACTGGTTTAGCCAATTTAAAGGGTGCTAAGTGGTCTAATGAACCACAATGAGTATTCTGGTTTTAAAGTAGTTATGTTTCACATTCTAAATAGTGAACATTTCATCCCTATATTTTAGTTCCTAAGGTTTCAATTGAAATGCAAAAAATAAAATAAAATAATTGAAAATTATGATTAATGCTCTTGTATATTAATTTGTGTTATGCTTTTCTTCTCAATAAAAAATAGCCTAAACTTATAACCAAACGTCAAGCGTAAACATAGCCTGACTTTGATATTCTATTATTAAACAAAGGTAAGTACATCATACAGGAAGATAACATACTGACACAAATAAAGACAAAGAGACAAGAGCTATACTGACTGCAGATGACATTTTTGAATCTATTTGTGCTTACATAAAAGAGAGAGAAGATTTTCCTACCCCACAATTGAAACTTACTGGACTCCAGCTGTGCATGTGTGCTGTCAGGTATTCTGGGAATATCCCTGAAATAAGGAAAAGTAAGACAGGCTGATTCTTTATCTAACAAGCATATTCAGATTTCAGTTAAACTATAACACTTTGCAAGTCACCACTTAATGCCTCATTAAGAAAATCCTATGAACTACGGACTGTCTTCAGCCACAGGGAAGACTTATCCTTTGTTTGGTATAAATTATTTCTGTGGCAAATTAAGCTTACAGAAACAAGCAGTTGAGTGAATACAGGAAAGAAGCTGCTCAGTCACAAATAAAATAATTGAGTAAACAGAAAACAGAGAAAAAACAATCTCAGAGTTACCAGTAGACTAAAACTGGGAGTAGCAGACTTCATTATGATATTACACATGAATTAAAGTTAGTAGACACTTGCTAAAACATACTGGACTACCAATGATGGCTATCTCAATATGTCTTTTACTGTCCTTGAACCCTCAAATTTGGGCACTTTTCAGTGACTAAATAAAATGTGCAATTTCATTTTGCAAAATAACATACTTGCATATACACCAAATGTCATATCACCTCTGTTAAACTGTATGTACAACTATGTAATTGTAAAACACTCGGTCACAAGTACATCATTACGCTCTCCCATCCCCACAGGAACATATTCTTCCTATGAGGGGCAAACATTACTATACGTATGATTACAAACTACCGATATGCTAATAAAAACATTTTAGAGGTATTTGTGCAACATAAAACAAGATTAAGAGTTTCAACTCTGAGTCACAGCAAGAACAGCATTTAAAATCACGATGTGTGTTACAGCAGATTTGGTTTTTTTTGAAGGTTGCAATAGGTTTCTGTGGCAAGGTACAGGCAGCAGGGGGGCTGCAGGGGTGGCCTCTGTGAGGAGAGGCTGAGGCTGCCCCATGCTGGGCACAACTGGCTCCAGCTGGCTCCAAAATGGACCCACCACAGGGCACAGCTGAGGCCATCAGCCAAGACAGTGTTGCCTCAGTGATAACATATTTAATGAAAGCTTAAAAATGCTGCACAGCAGCTGGGAGAGAGATAAGTGAGAAACTGAGAAAACCAGCCCTGCAGACAACCCCAAGGTCAGTGCAGCAGGAGGGCAGGAGGTGCTCCAGGCAGGCAGCAGCAGTTCCCCTGCGGCCTGTGGAGAGGCCCCTGGTGGAGCAGGCTGTCCCCCTGCAGCCCATGGGTCCCACATGGAGCAGATCTCCACGCTGCAGCCCCCCCATGGGTGGAGGAGCCCCCGGTGGAGCAGGAGCAGAGAGTGACCACAAAGGAGCTGTGGAGATGAAGCGTTAGGTATCAACCACAGCCCCCATTCCCTGTCCCCCACACCACAGTAGGCTGAGGGGAGGTAGGAGTGTCAGGAACAAATGAGTGAGGTTGAGCCTGGAAAACTCAACGTCAAAAGTGGTTTTAGCTTTGTATTGTTTTTTGCACCATCCTACTCTATTTTTAATTATCAATAAATTAAATTAATCTTCCCCAAATCAAGTCTGTTTTGGCCACAGTAATTGCTCAGCCATCTCCCTGTCCTCATCTCAACTCCTGAGCTTTTCCATCTCATTTTCTCCCCTCTCCTGTCGCACAGGGGGAGTGGGAGAGAGCTTGGCAGGTAAGTGGCAGCCAGCCAAGGTCAACACCACAAAGGCATATGAAAATGAGAGAAAAGTTAAAAATCCTTGCAGTCATATATACCGTCTTATGCAATGAAAAAAATAAATAAATCTGCTATCTGTATAAAGACTTATCTAGTAAGTTTTTGGTATATGCATTCCAAACATTTTTCAAAACTCACTAGAAAAACAGCTGTACTAAGCACATTCAAGTACCTTTCCAAGTGAAGCGATGCTGCAGCACCCAGTGAATCAAGCAAATCAAAAGGCATACAACTGGAGTAACTGCCCACTAAGGAAAAATCACTGTCTCTTGTTACTAAGCAAAACGTGTCAGAAACTTTTAAGGGCTAGTGAAGAAGCAAATATTTAAGTTTGCATATTTTATATTTGTAGAATACAAAATTACTGATATTTGTAGACTATCAAGGTATGCAATACCTGGCTATCACTTCACTCAGAAATATGCTGCAGAATTTAACCTGTGATTTAAATTTTTTTAATGTACCTAAAACATAGAGACTCAAGTATTTCAAAGTAGTATGAGTAGTATTTCTGCAGGGAATTCTCACTGGGATAAATGGAAGGGAGGTGAAAATAGTTTTCAGCATCTCTCCTCATTTTAGGATATCTTCCATTGCAAGCAGATTACTGTAGAATAATTAATAAAACACAAGGCAACATACCTTCCAAATTCAGAACAGTATTAACTATGAAAATAAAATACAATTTAAAATAGGTATTTCTGATTATTAGAAAGCAGAAAAGAGAAAATTTCTTGTATATAAGAGATAGCCAGCTTACACAGAATACCAACATGGCCATCAATGTTTATTTTAAGATAACTAAGGGGGTAAATTGCATGCCAAAATGGTATGATCATATTTTTTAAAAAGATTTTTCCATTTTGTTTTCCGTTATCAGCTTAGTTTGTCATGTTCAGTTTCCGTAGAAGTCAGCCCATAATAAAATGAAGAACCAGTAATCATGTTTACTGAGAGTTGTTCTTGTTTTCAGAAGATCAGGATGTGACAAAGGGTTCTCTTTCTCAGCTAAGTTAATTGCCAGTCTGGAGATTTCTGGCATGCGTTAGTGTGATGCTGTAAGACTATCAAGAGACTCTGTAAGTAATAGGATATACTTCAAGGCAAAAGTGAAATCCTTCAAGTGGGCAGAAATTATTCTAATCAAAATAATTATCACTTCAGACATCTGGTAAATCTGTACTTTTAATGATTTTAAGCACGTTGAAAACTTATTCCCTGGGACAGAACACAGACCTACAGCATTACGCTTCTTTGGGCAAGCAAAAGATGTTCATTTCTACAGAGCATTTGATTATGACCAGAAATTTCCTAAACTAAGAAGGTAACATGGCATTTCCAGTTCATCAGCTCAAGTCTTATGAAAAATACTTAGAATCATAGAATCATAGAATATCCTGAGTTGGAAGGGACCCTTAAGGATCATCAAGTCCAACTCTTGACACCGCACAGGTCTACCCAAAAGTTCAGACCATGTGACTAAGCGCACAGTCCAATCTCTTCTTAAATTCAGTCAGGCTCGGTGCAGTGACCACTTCCCTGGGGAGCCTGTTCCAGTGTGCAACCACTCTCTCTGTGAAGAACCCCCTCCTGATGTCAAGCCTAAACTTCCCCTGCCTCAGCTTAACCCCGTTCCCGCGGGTCCTGTCACTGGTGTTAATGGAGAAAAGGTCTCCTGCCTCTCGACACCCCCTTACGAGGAAGTTGTAGACTGCGATGAGGTCTCCCCTCAGCCTCCTCTTCTCCAGGCTGAACAGGCCCAGTGCCCTCAGCCGTTCCTCGTACGTCTTCCCCTCCAGGCCTTTCACCATCTTCGTAGCCCTCCTCTGGACACTCTCCAACAGTTTCATGTCCTTTTTATACTGTGGTGCCCAGAACTGCACACAGTACTCGAGGTGAGGCCGCACTAGCGCAGACTAGAGCGGGACAATCACCTCCCTCGACCTACTAGCGATGCCGTGCTTGATGCACCCCAGGATACCGTTGGCCCTCCTGGCTGCCAGGGCACACTGCTGGCTCATATTCAACTTGCTGTCTACCACGACCCCCAGATCCCTCTCTTCTAGGCTGCTCTCCAGCGTCTCATCGCCCAGTCTGTACGTGCAGCCAGGGTTTCCCCGTCCCAGGTGCAGGACCCGGCACTTGCTCTTATTGAACTTCATGCGGTTGGCGATCGCCCAGCTCTCCAACCTATCCAGATCCCTCTGCAAGGCCTTTCCACCCTCATTCGAGTCCACAACTCCTCCAAGTTTGGTGTCATCAGCAAACTTGCTCAAAATGCCTTCTATTCCTACATCCAGATCATTTATAAAAATATTGAAAAGTACCGGCCCTAAAATGGAGCCTTGAGGGACCCCACTAGTGACCGCCCGCCAGCCTGACGCAGCCCCATTCACCATAACCCTTTGGGCCCTGCCCGTTAGCCAATTGCTCACCCATCGTATGATGTTTTTATCTAGCTGTATGGTGCACATTTTGTCCAGTAGGATCCTATGGGAAACCGTGTCAAAAACTTTGCTGAAGTCCAAAAAAATCACATCAGCTGGTTTCCCTTGGTCCACCATACGGGTGATCTTATCATAAAAGGAAATCAGGTTAGTTAGGCAGGACCTACCCTTCACAAACCCATGCTGGCTGGGACCAATGACTGCTTTGTCCCCCAGGTGCGCCTCAATAAGTTCGAGAACCATCTTCTCCATGATTTTACCAGGCACTGACGTGAGACTGACAGGCCTGTAATTGCTAGGGTCTTCTTTCTGACCCTTCTTGAAAATTGGCACAACATTTGCCAGCTTCCAGTCTACCGGGACCTCTCCAGATTCCCAGGATCGTTGAAAAATAATTGAGAGAGGTTCCGCAATGACGTCTGCCAGCTCTTTCAGCACCCGGGGATGAATCCCATCCGGACCCATGGACTTGTAGGGATCCAGGTGGAGTAGCAACTATTATTTTGATATTAAATTAAATTATTATTTAATATTAAATATTATTTTGATATTGCTAATATCAAAATCCCCAAAGAGCAACATATATCTCATCAGAATCTTAAGTTCTCACCAACCTGCATATGACTAAAAGAAATAATATTTTGAGATATCCACAGTGTATTTCGCACTGAGGCTTCAGTTATAAACCCATTTCCCATTAGTAACTGGAGCTCTGAAGGTGAAGATCCCCTTTTATGTCCACTGCAAAAAGAAAGTGGGAATCCAGCACGCAGTAACTGTTTTAGTCACTACCTGGCTCAGTTCTTCACCCTGTGTGGCAAACAGTTAATGCTGAAGAAGGCGTCTTGAGAGCCTACACCACGTTCTTTAAGGAATTATAGATGATTTATAGCTCTAGTGACAGCAAGTGGAGCACATGGTAACATAATCAATAAAAGACATGATGATAAGGAAGGTAACAGGCAGTAAGTAGAAAAGCATAAGAAAGAATTGAGGAAGTTTCATACAGTCAAAGGAATGGAGAAAGAAATAAAAAAAAGTACTTTCAAGATGAGAGCAGTTCCTTGAAACTTTGATATAAACATCATAGTTGAAATACAATGAAAGATCTTACACTTACATGAAACAGATGTGAAACCTTCTCTTCTAAGACAGATTTTTTCTTGCAAGTTAGTCAGTCCCTCAGTATTACTATTACACCTAGAACTCCTAAGTTATGCAAAGATTTTTATGGATAAGACAAAAAGATACAGCCTTTGCCCTAAAGGGTTTGCAGTTCAGTATATACATAGATAACGTCTCATCTTACTGACAAAATAAAGCAATCTTTGTTTTTATCAAGTTCGTTAGAAAGTATCAAAGCAAATTATGTTCCTAATCATACTGCATCTTCTTTGAGTTAAATACACCAGATAATATACCTCATAGCTGAACCCATAACAAATTACCCTCACTGAAATTCCATCCTCACATTATCTGGCTCTAAATTTATATATTTTTTAGTACTTCTTAGTTCTCATTTGCTATGGTACTCATGCTTTCATATAAGAAAATTGTGAGCATCTTACACAAGGCATAAATATGTTAATATATAAATACATTGTAATAAATTCTGTGGGAGAAAAGAGAAAATTCTTAACAACTGTAAGCATCTTCAACTTCAGAGGTAAGTACCCCCTCTTCACAGCCCTGAAATGATCAGCCATAGAACTTTCAATGGAGAAGTAAAAGAAGGATGTGACTGTAGTTTGTAGGAACTTGAATAAAACAAACAGGTAAAGAAAGGCAAGTCTTCATAGAAGTGGAAACATTCATATAACAGAGTAGCTAGAAATGCCCTATTGGTTAGAAGAAAAAAAAAACAAAATACACACACATACACAAAAACACCTAAGTTTAGACATTGAGAGGTAGTTCTCAAAGTCAAGCAAACTGAAGAAAAAGGGTCACATAGTCTGTTTAAACGAGCATTCAACTTAGCTATTTATTCAGGTATGTTCTGTATTAGAAACCAAATATTAGTATATTTCAGAGATGAAGACGATGAAAACATCAAGTCATTACTTTCCAAGACATATTGGTTATGTCATTAGCATACCATATTTTGGGCAAAATAAACAGAGCTAACCATCAATTCATAGACCAAATATGTATACTTTACTATACATACTATATAAAAATGGAAATGGAAAAAAAGAATCAGGAGTCAAGTTACTAATAAAGAGTTGTGGCAATAAAGATTAATAGATAACAATAAAGATTAATAAGATGTGGCAATAAATCACAGATCCTTTATAGCCTGGACCACCAACTAAATAACCACAAAAGGTAACCTGTTTTCAAGCATATCACCAGATAATGCCCAGAACTCTCTAGAGAATACATGATTTCACTCCACCTCTTTTTACTTACCAGCATGACCTACCACTCTAACTACATTTTTGGTTTACATAGTCTTACATACAGTTTTACTGTTTACAATATTTATGAATCTGACATGATCTGCACTAGAAGTGAAATTTAACAATATTTTTATCACATTTAATACAAAAATGGACTTACCCAATTGGTCTTGAAACAACAAGCTCCACCTGTGGCTCAGGTTTGGACTCTAAAATGATGTTATATACCTCCTCAAAGGTGGCTCCTTGTAGTAGCCTTCCATTCCATTCTAATACTTCATCACCTATAATTTCGGTAATAACAGTCTGCTTAGTAAGTCTGCTGTGAACTTAATTGTGAACAATTTAAGCCATTTATTGTCATTTACTGAATTGTGAAACCTGTGTTGGCAAAAAGTTTGTGAGTCCTTCATACAGGAAAATCCTAAGTATTCAACTTTTTCTGCAGCTCTGCTCTGAATACCTAAGGTTCCATAAGGTTCAACAAAGCAATAACATCATCCACAGGATCGCTATTGAATTAGATACAGCTCTTACTTACAATGTTAGTTGTGGTTTAAAATAAAACCCAAGATGCTCTTTAGAGAATGCAGATCTTTAAAACAGCAGATCTCATCAGCTTGCTATTTTGAAGATTCATTTACCTCTAAAAGTTTAGTATTTAGTGTTCAGACAGTTCTTATGTTAACATTTAATATTTCTTGCACATACTCCAGTGCAGCAATCCATGGTTCACATGTTGGGATAGAACCAGATCCTAAAAATTTCTTGGCCAAGATGGTTTTCTTGGCACATTTGTGATATCTTGGCTTGGGTCTAAATAAAATATACTCCATAAGGTGACTGGGCAGGATGTCAGGGGAGTATTATTTTGAGTATGAAAACATCAATAAAAATGTGAAAACATAACTTTGAACAACATGAGATTTTATGTATTTCAAAAAAGCAGTAATGTCAGTAATAATCTAGTACATGAACATCAAGTTGAATTCTGCAGCAGCTCATCACAACTATTCAACATAATTTGACTTCTAATTAAGCTCACTTTCTTCTTATCACCTTTAGAAAAGAAACTCAGCATTACAGGTCTATAATGGATACATACCTGGTCTAAGATGCCCCACTGTATCAGCTAAGCTTCCTTTTTTAACTTTGGTGATAAATGCGCAGAGTCGACCTGATTCAGTCATCTTTCCTCCTACTACCTGTTTCAAAGAGGAATTATTTTCATAGCATGAAAAATTATTTAAATGACTTAACCATACAGGCAATAGAGAACAGAATTCAATGACTTTTCTGGTATTCAGGTAGCCCAGATAAGGCAGATACACTTGAAACAAACACCACAGAACACTGGCTATGGTAGGTTATGTTTATATAGCTATTCCAGCTACCTGAGTAATTTAAAGACAATGCAAATACAGAAAGTGAAGTACTTCAAGCTTTCACTGTACTATTTTTTACTGTACTGTATATTTCTGTAGTATAAATTGGCACCCCAAAAAAAGTACACTATGGTTCATTAGACTGCTTACTTCAATATTTTCAAGCTGTAAATAGATTTATTAATGTAACAGAGCCTACAACATTCACACAAAACATTGAATGTATCTAACAATTAATCAAATTCACTTTGTGATAATAAACAATGTACAAGTACTAATAATTTCCAGTCTTGTGCATTTAAGATGTAGCAAATCTATCAGAGGGGAAAAATTCTAGAAACAGCTCTTTACAGTGGTAGACTTTGCTCTGGATTAAAGAAGTGTCATTAACCTCCAGATGTCCCCCAGATCTTCAGAAAAGATTTATTTTTCACATTTCTTCCACCTTTTGCAGGACAGAAGTTATGCTGCAATGCTCAATACTCAAGAAAGTGGACAGGGTTCGGCTTGCCTAGCAAGGATGCAATTAGTATCTTGCAGAGCAGCCATTCTCAGCAAACTTGCGAAAACATGTCCAGTCTTTCTGTAAAATACAACTTTTTCAGAATGTCAGGGACCCTGTGAAATTCCTCTTAATAACATACAATGTCTTTATACATTATTTTTGAGATGAAGACATTATAGATACAGGTAGACTATGTATTATGAGAATTATGTATTATGAGTTCTTACATTACGAAGGTAGCTAGTTTAATTGAGAGTTTTAAGTAATTCCAAAATTATTCATTACCAACCTTCAATCCAAGCATTGCTCCCGAGTCTCTCGGCACACTTCCATCTTTCAGTCGTTTATTTAACAAAATCCGACCGATGAGACGGTCTCCATCTTTGGATGGTTGCCAAGTTACTGGATGCTATCATATGGTGTTAATGGAAAATACAGTGAATAGGATGTTAAAGAAAAATATGTCAGTAATGCTTTTCATTTCCTGATATATTTTAAAAATGCAGTGAAAGTGTTATGATTACACTAATATTTAATGTATCAGAATGACTGAAAACTGTGCTTGTAAAGATTTATTTGGACATGTAGTCCCTCACAGTATATTCCTAATATTTAGTAACATTATCTACTTTACTAACTCCAAATTATAAATATCTGTAATGATCTTTGCATCTTGATGAACAGACAGATACAGATAACTACGTATAGTTACCTACGCACAGGGACGACCACACAAGTACTGACAAAAACAACTGTCGAGGCCAATATCAAGAGTAACACTGAAAAGGCAAGTTTAACTCAAAAACTTGATGCAAGACACAGATTTCTTCTTTTTCCCCTATTCCAAGCACGTCAGTTTTCTCTAAGACTGACAAAATTTTTCTGTTTTTCTTTCTCTCATTAGTAATATATTAGAATTATAGAATATGTTAAAAATGACATTCATTGCTCTGCATTTAAAAGTTTCTTGGATTAATTACTGCACATACAGAGCATATGAACGTATTACTATTCCATTACTACACATGGGCACACGTTGTATGTTGGCATAACATAATTACTAAAATTTAAAATAATATTTTTATTTTGTGTAATCATAGCACTTTTTCACTGACAAATACTACTTCCATGCTCTATTTCATGCAAAACTAGCAGGCACAGACAAATTTGCTCCCATTACACGTAATAACTCGAAAATGACTGATCATAATCTCTACCAAACAAAACACACAAATAAAAATCACCAAAGCAGATGGCGAAGCCTTTAATGCTGCACAGTACTGCACAAAAAATGGCATGGCAACAAAACAAAAGAACAACCATGACAGTGAAAGGGAAAAAAGAAAAACAACTTTTCCGTGCAGAGAGACCCAATTTTCTCCCTTTTTCACCTGGGACTTAAACTATTAATTTAATTTCAGCCCCAGGAGTTTGAACATAGTAAATCAAATAAGCCAATCAGTAGAATCCTTGTTAATTACTTCACACTTGAAGGTAATACCATGATAGGCTATTATGCAACCAAGAACAATGTCTTGTTTTTTGTTTTTGTTTTTGTTTTTTCTTAGTCTGCCAAACCATAAAAGCTGCAAGCATGCAGAGAGTTTTCATTTGTTTTTCTTTTCTGCACCTTAGGAAATGCTACGTTGTCTCTAGAAACACCCTGTCTTTTACTTTGTGCACTATTTTAATGAGTGACAGAGAGCAAACAAAGACCAAATGAGCAGGTTAAAATGCAGGCTCCGTAATCTCAGTACCTTCTCGCTATGGCTATGTTCCTCGTTTAGAGTTGTGCTACTACACGTATCTACCCCAGAGTCTTTTATCTGAGGCTCAGACCATTCCAAGTCCTCTTCCAAAGAGTGGCCACCAAAGCACACCATTTTCTTTTGTCTCTCGGATAAGGTGTTAGAATCCGACAAAACTGCCTGCTCACTAGTTTTTCTTTTTCCCCTTTGACTGTCCCCTATAGATGTGGGATAAAAAAAAAAAAAAAAAAAAAAAGGAAACAAAAAAAGAAAACATGCAAAGGTGTAAATAAAACAAAGGAAATGTGAAATGGTAAAAGAAACTAAATGGTAAGGCTCCACATGTCTCACCAAAGACATTGGGGATGCCTCACTGCTATGCCAAGACGTATGGTCCAACCAGTTGTAATCCATGTCTCCTGCGAGAATCAGACAGACAAGATAGTGCAGTAAAGGAAAGGTGAAAGAAAGGACAGAAAAAGATACAGTAAAATTGTAAAGACTGCTGGTTATCCTATCTGATTCACACCCTTCGCTAGAGGGACTTGGAAAACAATTCCAAGAAAAAGTTAAGATGCCAACAACCAAGTACGTGGCATATAAAATACAGTGAGGAAGTAGGTATGTTTGCTTGGGTATAGGTGTGCATATAGTTATGTACAGCGTAAACCATCACTGGTTGATGCTTTATATATAAATTTTTAACTGTTTGCATACAGTTAGCTACAGTAAATTAAATGAAAAGGCAAATTGCATTGTATTCATAACGATTTTCAGAAAGGAAAAAATTTGATTACAGGACAGGTTTTCATCATAAACTACAGAAACAGGTTTTGTTTCTTGTCTTAAGGAACAGACTTTGCTTTTCCATTACAAAATAGTATTCTTTCTGATCGCTTCCATAAAATACTTGAGCAATGGTATGGTATATTTAGCTGTACTGTAGATGATGTTTAAGATGTGTAAGAAAAACAAATATATAAGATATATTATAAAAAGCAGATCAACTTCACTTGAAATTCCCAGAGAAATGTCTACTGGTTAAATATCAGGGTGATACTTGTAAGTATAGGTACCTTGAAACTGAGAATAAACATTAGGATTCTAACAAGGGATATATGTCTTTGCATATTAGAGAATCCGAATTTGACATGTATGGCAGGCAGATGATAAGGAGAAAGGTTTAAAACACAGTCTTAAACAAAAAGCCTAAAAGCTGCTGTCCACAGGACTGGGGAGTGATTTGTGTGTTTTAATAAAGCATTAGCATTTGTGTAGGTACCTTAAATCATGAATTGTGCCCACGCACTTTGAATTATCAGTGTTCCTTTTTGTTTTTTTTACAATATTGTTACTACATGCTACATGAAAAAATATTTTGTTGCTGTGTGCGAGATACGATTAGGATATTGTGTGCAGGACCAAATGTTGGCTTTTGACCAAGAGAACACTAACCAGTGCAGTTCCGCTCTTAATACAGCCCACAAACAGCACTTTTCTATTTCCATTACCTCAGATCCTGCTTTGATATTGCTCAGCTACTTCCTCTGAAACTACACCAGAAGGTTTGTGAAATATAAGTACTAGGTCTAAGCACAGCCTGAAAATTTGTCTAGAAAACCTTGCAGAAATAATACGCAGATACAACCCCATAAAACTAAGCTACAAAAAGCTAATGGATGCTTTAGAAAAGTAAAATACAGTCTCCTCAAAAGGATTTACTACATACAATGAGCAATATGATTTTTTTTCCCACTTCTTTTCTCCTAATACATACAGTATGTCATCTGGAAACAAGATCAAGTCTCACTTCCATTTTAAAGAAGGACATGCATTGAATATCACGGTTTTCTTTTGAAACAGGCACTTCCAGTTTGAACTTAGTCCCTAACATTTTGCAGAAACAAGAAGCACGTTGGACATCCTTTCTTTTCAGAAAAGGAATGCTAAGGGACCTCATGAAACTATTCCAAAGCTTTAATTCATTCATATTTTCTAAGTAATAAATAGGCCTGCTGTAAAAGTGCAAACTATTTTTCTTGATTCTTTGAAGGGAAGGTAACATTTTAAATGGGAGCTTCTGATCAAAACCTATTCCTGGCAAGGAGCTTTCAGGGTTTTCTTACCTCCAACTCCACAAACGTTGCTTCAGGAGAACAAAGTGAAATCATCAGCGAGCACTTGAAGATCTACCCTTTACTGTACTAACACACATTTAGAGATATGGAGAGATACAGGGAGATGGAAAGAGCTCCAGTTTACACAATTGCCTAGTTTACAAATCCTGATTTTAAAATGTATTTTAAAAGTTAATCTTCACAGGATGACAGAGTGGCTGAGGCTGGCAGGGCCCTCTGGAGCCAGCCGGTGCCACCCGTGCCCAAGCAGGGACACCCAGAGCAGGGTGCCCAGCACCACGTCCAGGCGGCTGCTGAAGGGCTCCAAGGAGGAGACCCCACAGCCTCTGGGCAGCCTGTGCCAGGGCTCCGTCACCCGCACAGCACAGAAGGGCTCCTGGTGCTCAGGGGGAGCCTCCTGGGGGCCAGCTTGTACCCAGGGCCTCCTGTCCTGGATTTACAGACAGTGATGGGATCCCCTGGACCTCCTCTTCTCCAGGCTGAGCAGTCCCAGCTCTCAGCCTCTCCTCACAGGAGGGGTGCTCCAGGCCCTCCATCATCCTCACGGCCCTCTGCTGGACTCTCTCCAATATGTCCATGTCTCTCTTGTACTGGACACAGATCTCCAGGTGTGGCCTCACCAATGCTGAGTAGATGGAAAGTGGAATCTTAAGTGAGGAGAATTCATCTCATTACAGTAACGATGACTTCACTCTAACTACAGGAACGAAAGGCATGTGAGCCCATACTATTTCTTCCTAGCAGTTATTTTCTGTGTCATCAATACAATTTCTATACCCAAAACCACAGTCTGACTGAAAAGTTGTAATTTGGCTCCCTGTAATTTGCCACCTAATTCTAGGAGCAGAGCACTGAAATGAAATGGGCTGTATAAGCAGAACAGTTAAACCAGATCATTCTTACTAATTCTAATTCCTGCCTATTTTTGAGAAATGGTGTATTTTCATTGAAATTACTCCATTTAAATGTAGGTATCTATTGTTAAGGAGTAAAAATCGACCACTGCAAATTACTGGCCCTGTTTTAAAGTTTTAAAATTGTCAGGAACAATCCTGACTATTACTTATATTCCAAAAGAAGCCAACAGAAGGGAATCCACAGGTGTAGTTATTACGTCCTCGCTGTTCTCCAGTGAACGTAGCACTTATCTACCCTTTATGAAATTCATCTGCATTCTTAATGTTCACACACACATTATTTGTAACCATTGAGCTTTGCCAGCTCTCCTATTCATGTTTTTTTCCCCTATAAATTAAACAGTTTTGCATGAACTTGTCAAGAGCTAGGATTCCTATCAAACTCAACTTTCACTTGTTTGTCTATGTAGGAAATAGGAAATAACTTGTTCAAATAGGAAAATAAGTTATTGAAAGGTTGACTCAAAGACTGAAAATAAATACCTTTCCAGTAACTGTACTTCACAGCAGAGATGTGCTATACGCATACAAGTTCATCCTATAGGTGTTTATAGGAGCAAATGTTGAGCAGTGCTGGGCTCTAACAGTCTGGGCTATGCACACCCACACTTGAAACGTACACACTGTCTTTTAGTTACATATAGAAACTCTGGATTCTTTTTCTGTTTTTTTATTCTTTTAACTAAAGTTAACCAAAATAGTAAGACACATATGTTAATAGATACACATATACCTGAGTGATAACTTGTAATTTTTAAAACTTCCCATTCATACAGTAAAAATAAAATACGTTGATTATTTTCCTACAATAGAACTTCCAATTTTCTTGTTTCAGGAACAAAACAAAAAAAACTTACAGTAAGTCCTTTTATAACTTGTTAGAGAACTTCTTACAGCCGTCTTTCAAATACTGACTCTAGAGACCTCTAATTCTTTTACCTTAGTTTTGATTATTTATTGTATGGATCTGTACATCTGGATCAATGAGCCTATGTTCCTTTTACCATCAGTAGTGGGATGTAGAACTTTTTAAGGTGTGGTTCATTTGACCTGTTCTAGATGAGCACTTCCAGGTGCGATAAATCATACCTTCATCACATTCAAAATGTCTTATTTATCCTCTGCTATTTTTAAAGGAGGTTTCAATAACTCCTTCAGATGGTCGTCGTCTTTTCATTAGGAGGCTCCTACTACCCTAAGTTACAGTTTTGACACAGCCTCAACTATTTATTTATATATCCAAGAAAATACCAAAATAATCATAAAAAGGCCTCAGGACTCAAAGATCTAATGAAAGGCAAGTCAGCTGGACTGATTATATACAATCAGAAATGCCAAATATTTCTGTACCACAGCAGCAGCAATGTAGACTTGTATTGGGTCTGGCTGGAATGTTAACTTTCCCAGCAGCAGCCCATACAGTGCCGTACTCTGTACTTGTAGCTGGAACAGCAGTGTTATCACACCAGTGTTGTGTCTGCTGCTGAGCAGCAGTGGCACAGTATTAGGCCTTTCTCTAACCCTCCTAGGGGGTGGGCAAAAGGTGAGGAGAGAAACATCACTAGGGCAGCTGGCCTAAACCAATCAAAGGGATATTCCATACCATGTGATGTCACACTCAGCAATAAAAGGGGGAAACAGGAAGAAGAGGGGAGGGGTGGGCTCTCGTTTGGAAGACGTCGGTCCTCCTCTCGAACACCGGCTGCGTGCGTTGAGGCCTTGCTTCAAGGACGTGGTCAATCATTGCTCATTTGTGGGAAGTAGAGAGTAATTTCTTTCCTCTGCACTTCCATATAGCCTTCATTTATTTTGTTTGTTTGTTTTCCTCCCTTCTTTTTATTTTCTTTTTTTTTTTCCCTCCCTTTCCCCTTTCCCTTTTTATTTTCCCCTTAGTTAAATTGTTAGTTCATGGTAGTCTTTATTTAATTATTATAATTATTTCCCTTTAATTAAATTATCCTTATCTCAACCCGTGAGTTGTTCTTTGCTTTACTTCTCCCCCTCCTCATCTAAAGGAGGGGGAGTGAGAGAGCGGTTGTGGGGTTTAGCTGCCCAGTACGGTAAAACCACCACAAGACTAAAAGGATCTCTGGGCGATAGAAAACTTTTTGCTTCTGTGTTCAAGTGTTCAAACACAGGTCTCTGGCCCGTTGTAAGACTTCC